TGTGTGTGTGTGTATATATATATACTCTTATTTAAGATATAGTTTACATAGCTCATTTAAAAGTGTGATATATAGTTAAAAATTACAGATTCATAAAGTCATTTATAATAGTCAAACTTGTAGCTATGTTAGTTAAGTTTTCTAGATGTACAGAGATGTATTTCAAATGTATAAATATTCTTCAACCCTTTCAAAGACCTTAATCCCAGCACTTGGGAGGCAGAGGCAGGCAGATCTCTGTGAATTCGAGACCAGCCTGGTCTACAGAGCTAGTTCCAGGACAGGCTCCAAAGCTACAGAGAAACCCTGTCTCGAAAAACCAGAAAAAAAAAATCAAAGACCTGAAGAATATAGCATTTAAAATGTTTTAAGAACTTAGACTTTTCTTGACGGTGAGACATGTCTACTTCTGGCAGTACCAATTACTTCACAGAGGTTGATGGGGATCGAAGAAACTCATTATGAAATGTGACTTTAATATGACAAGGCTAGCTATTTGGGCAAGAAACTGCTCTTGCCTGGACTGCTTGATGGTATGCTGTATAAACTGGACATGCAGGACCCACGGAAAAGTGACTGCTGAACTTTAAAAAAGACATGATCCTTCAGGGTTCCTGCTTCACAGAAGAAACTGCCAGACATTCTGCAGGATACAAAATAAAGCAACCGATGAACTTTTCCCGTACAAGGAAAAATAGGTTTTCAACTTTTCTGCTTCATTAAAAAGTCTGCAAGATACTATAGGCCTGTAGGCTGAAGATGGATGCCTCAACGTTACCGAAGAACTTTGTGTGACTGTCCAGGCGGCAAGATGTCTTGACAGAGTTGAAGAACAAATAGTTATAGTTTTATTTATAACAAAAGATAATTAAATGTAAAACTTTAGACTTACAAAAATAGGTTATTATTTTCCTTAATTTGCTGAATATAAATGAACTAAATATTGTAACTATAATTCTTGCTTGACAACTGTTTTGTATATGTAATTTTACTATATTAAAGTTAGAACTTTTTATTTAGACAGAAAAGGGGAGATGTGGGACTCCCCTCTGTTTGCTATGAATATGTTTTATTACCTACAGCAGGATAGAATGTAGCCAGGCTGGAAGAGATACATATAGAAAGTAGGTGTAGTCAAAGAGACACCATGTAGCTGCCAAAGCAGAAAGATGCATGGGAACCTTACTGTTAGGCCACAGCCTCTTGGTGATACACAAAATAACAGAAATGGGTTTAAAATGTAAGAGTTAGTTATAAGAAGCCTGAACTAGTAGGCCAAACAATGTTGTAATTAATATAGTTTCTGTGTGATTATTTGGGCCTGGGCAGCTGGAAAAAGAAAAAGAGTCTCTGTTTACACTGTCCAGTTTTTAATATTTGATTACTAGTGATTCATAAACTAAAATGGTCTTCCTTTTTATTAATAGCAAAGGAATGCATGCAGAAACTGTTGCCCTGGCAAATTACTGTGTTGCTAGTAACACTATGATTGGTGCTCTGTTTTATAATTTGTTTGATAATATACAAGATGGGGTCTGCCACTCTCTTTTGATCCCAATATGCAGTTGCACTAGTATATACCTAAAGCCATAATCTTAAAGGAGAAAAAGTGTGTGTTCATGAAGATGTGCCTGCAGGCAGTATTTGTAATCAAGAAAATCAGATAGAAATTGAGTATTCTACAGTAGAGTAATAGTCAAGTAAATAAAATGATGCTCAAAATGAGAGATAAAAGACTATACAAATCAGAATACATTAAGATGAAGAATATGTGATTGCTTTTAAAAATGATTCATGTAGCATCACAATAATATTATTGGGGCTGGAGAGAGCTCCGAGGTAGAACGTTGCCTACCCTGCACAAGGCCTGGATTGTATGCGCCATAAATAATAGTTTTAACAGTTACCAGGAGTTGAAAAATCCACCCAAAAGTCTTTTCCCATGAGGCCATTTCTTTGGTCTCTTTGAACCTGCTCCAGGGACAGCGCTTTTCTTAGTCTTTTCTTGTTCCTGTTCTCTGGCAGATCCTTTGCAGTCCTGGCTAATCTCCTATTGCCATTTCATCACCCTCTGGGCAAGACTTTTCCAGAAGTTGGAAATCACTCACATCTACGAGTCAATGAGTCTTAGCTCCTTGGCTGTCTTAAGAAAGGTGTCTTTGAAAGAGATTGATATTAAGGATGGGGCAGCACTTCTGTAGTCTTGTTTCTGATCTTAGTTGTTTGGTTGGAAGAGGAAATTGTGTTGTCTTGTTTCCATTTCTATCTTTAGTGTGCTTTCGGAGAATCTGTAAGGAGATTCCCATATCCTCAGGAAGAAGCCTTAGAGCCCTGAGCTATTTGCCAGGCAAAATGTCTGCAAAGTTAAGAGTCATCAACATGCCTTCTCCAAGTCCTGAAGAGCCTGCTGGGCTTCTCACAGAAAAGGCAGATTGGTGGGCCTGCGGTCAGGACCTGAACCTTCACTGGTGCAGCTCTGCCCACGATTTGACTACTGAGATTCACCTGAGTCCAGGAGGCTCTGCAACGCTCCAGGAACTTTTGTCTTGCTAGCTTGCTTTAGTTACTTTTCTACTGCTGTGGCAAAGCAACATGACCAAGCTAACTTTTTTGTTGTTTTTTTGAGACAGGGTTTCTCTGTCTTAGATCTAGCTCTGTAGACCAGGCTGGCTTCGAACTTACAGATCCACCTGCCTCTGTCTCCTGAGTCTCCTGAGTGCTGGGATTAAAGGTGTGCACACCACTTCATTTATAAAAGAAAACATTTCATTTGGGGCTTAGGGTTCCAGGGGGCAGTAGAGTTGGTGGCCATCATGGTAAGGAATTTGGCAGGCAGCCATGATGGTGGAGCAGTAGCTGAGTGCTTACATTTGACCCACAAACAAGAGGCAGAGAGGGACGGAGGGAGGGACGGAGGGAGGAGAGACTAAAGGTGTGAGCCACCACTGTCTCCAGCAAGATGCTATGTCTGTGTAAGTGTGGTGGAGACAGAAGAGGCTGTTGGATCCCCTAGAGCTGCGTTACACTTGGTTGTGATCTGGGAACTGAGCTATGGGTTCTCCAGCTCCAGTCTGCCCCAGTTTGACTAGATCTTTAAGAAGACCAGGGATATGATTCTAGAAAGAAGCCCTCATACTAGGGCTTGAGAAGACAGTTTTCTAAAGTGAGTGCCTTCAAAGAAGAGGTGCTGCGAGGCAATTCCCACTGGTCCCCACTTTAAAACTGAGAATGGAATCAAGAGGCGAAGCAGATTACAAAATGCCACATTTTTACTTGAGTATGTTTTTTTCTTTTTGTTTTTCAAGATTAATTTGCTATAAAATCTCTTAAAGAAACAAAACAGTATGCTCGAAAGGCGGCAGGGAGCCGCCAAGCTGGATCCTGGCTGGAGGCAAAAACGAGTGAACTGCTGGACAAAAGCCTCAGCAGGGGCTGTGGGAAGGTGAGCGCTTGCTGTGTGGCCGGCTGCTTGTTTACTGCTCCCATTCACTATCCCAGCAGAGACCAGTACACTTCGCAGAGGCCCTTTCCCAAATGAGACAATAATGCAAAGCTTGGGATCTTTTAAATGTTCTGCAAGGCTTTCCAAAACAGGGCTCTTTTGTGCCATTTCTGAGACTTGACATGTGACCTAGCAAAGGCCGCAATGTGACCAGCTCGCAATTCATTGACTTATTCAAAGAAAATGTACTGAGTTTTCTGTGTACCAGCCGGCATCCTGAGACTAGGTAGGGGTGCTGTGGAATCCAGGACAGAGACGACTCAACCTTCACAGTACTTTCAAAGCAAAACTATGTAATGCGATCACTTCTAAGAATGCCCCTAAGCATGTGGGGACCACCTGGAGAAACGAACATTGCCCAGAGAGGCTTAGGCTCCACAATAAGCCCGAGTCATAGTCAGAGGGGGAAAAGCAAGCAACAGACCATAGTCGACCTGCCGGGCAGTGTAACACATTTTGGTGTCATAGTTAAGGTAGCTGAGATACACTGGACTTTAAATTGGGGAATGAGGCGCTCCGAGTGATTACACCTGCAGCTGCTTTGGGGCATGAAATAAAAAGCATGCGTCGATTCTACAAATTCCCCGTGACTACTAGCCGAAGTTCGCAGCTAGTCTCACTTGTTTTCTTTGATAACTTGACGTCATTTTTGTAACACAGCTAGTGGGAGACAACAGTTTGAGCCATGTTTAGGTGCAAACCTTCCTACTTTCGGCCCTGAAGCGAGAATAGTCAAAGTTCCTGCACTATAGGATGTGGGGGTAAAGAAGATATACACTTGAGAGAGCGACTGTGCCAGGCTTTCAGAAATGTTCACTTCCCTTAGTTACTTCAGAGGGCTCCTACGAGGAGTATGGGGCTCTCGGGAAACTGCCACCCACCTTCCTCTTGCTCCCCTTTCCTTCTCGTCGAGTGGAACACAGAGCAGAGCCCACTCCGGCAGAGGCGCAAGGCCAAGCTCGGCTTCAATGCGGCCATTGTCATCAAGCCGCACCTCCCCCGCTTGCCGCGCGTCCCCATGGCAACTCGGGGCTTCGTCTGCCCCCCCATACCCCCGCCCCCCGTCCTGCGGACCGGAAGCCGGTCGCGCCGGGGGCTTGTGGGAAGAGGCTGTGAGCGACGGCGCAGCGTCTGCCCGGGACGGTGAGGCTGCGGTGGGTCCCGAGCCAGAGGTCAGCGGCGTGCGGAGCAGGGTTCGAGCAGGGGCGCGGGGCGGGGCGGTCGGACAGCGACCGGCGTCGTTCGGCGTCTCGGGCGTGCGCGGAGAAGGCCGCGGCGGAAGGGCGGCGGCGGCTTGCCGTACTTCGGGTGTCCGCAGAGACCCCAGCGCCCCCGTCCTCGCCGTCATGTCCTCCCCTCCCCCACCGACCGGTTTTGTTCTATTTCGAGGCTCTATCGGCTCGCGGGGGGTTCTGGGAATCGCTCAAGCCGAGGTGGGATCCGGTGGTTCTCGCGCACGGCCTTCTGGGATTTGTAGTCCCGCCGGTGCAGGACGGAAGTGCCAGTCCTGGGTGGTGGGGTTTTGTGGGGCCTCTGCGGCCCTTCGCGGTGGTTGCTGGGAAGAGGACATCGGCCAGAGTTACTGGGGCTGGTTGGGCTCGGCGCTGTGAGGCGGGAGGTCTTTGAAGACCAGGATCCCGCCAGGTGCTCAACGGCGTTCCTCCTCGTCCCACGAGCCTGGTGCAGTACAAAATAGGAGAAAAAGCAATTTTTCTATTACGTAGAAATGCTTGAGCCGTTGATAGGGTCGGGTCCAGGAATAGGAACAAATAACTTGGATTTTGCTCTCAGGCCATCATTCCACTCAAGAATATTTAACGAATCTATATGGTCTTTCTGTTTGATACGGTGTTTTCTGATTCTTTGTCTTCACCTTGACAGGTTTCAGTAAGGTTTTCTTAAGTTTCTGTTTTTTATATTCTTAGCTCTGATAAATAAATAGTGGCTGTAAAGGTTATTCTTCCTCTATTTTGTTTTTTTCTTTCAAGGCAGGGTTTCTCTGTGTAACTCTGGCTGTCCTGGAATTCGCTCCATAGACCAGGCTGGCTTTGAACAAGGAGATCCACCTGCCTTTGCCTCCTTAGTGCTGGGATTAAAGGCGTGCGCCACCACTGCCTAGCTAAGCTTATTATTCGTAACGTGCTGTGAACCGTGACACTAGTATGATTTTGCAAATACTAAAAGGATGAGAAAATAGCTCACAGATTTCCCCAAAGGAAAAGCTAGGGGAAGCTATTTAAGGAAAAAGACTCCAGGCCACCTTGAGAAACTGAGTGCTTTTTCCCATAGCATTTGCTTCAGGGAATGAACTGTCGCTGTAAGTTTAAGTGCATGTATGGTGTGGTGGATGCCCAAATGCCATTTGCTTTTTATGCGAAATAGTTTCTTCCCCAGTGTTATGTGATCGTTACTGACTTGTATAAAAGTGAGTCTGTGGCAAAAGCCAGTAGCCCAGTTAGCTTTGCTATGGTAAATGAGAACAGTCTTGTTTCACCTAGGTGCTGGACTTAGAGGTTGAGGACACCAGAGCCAGCTACAAGTGGTGAACAGAACATTTTCACAAACATTTTGTTTAAGGGGTTCCTAAACAATACTTTTTTTTAACTTTAAAGAAATAGTGTGTGTTCGTGTGTGCGCGTGTGTTCACATTCTGAGCAGTAGCTCAGCAGCAGAGCAGATTTGTACGGTACTTATATACAGTCTCTAACCATGGGGGTGGGTGCGGACAGTCGACCTGTTTCCTTATCCAGATTTGTGAAGACAAAAAGAAAAGTGGGTATGGGGCTTGCTCCAGCCTGACCCCCGTGCTGGACCCCAGATTCTGCACAGAAGGGGAACGAACCCTGCATGCTGTCCTCTGCCTTCCACACTGGCTGAGATGTACAAACATAAGATCAATGTCAAAAAATGTTTTAAGTGTCCTACAGTTCTGAATATTTAGCTTTTATTTTATGTATATGTGTACCATGTGTTGCCTGGTGCCTAAGGAGGCCAGAAGAGAGTTCTGGGGTGCTGGAACCAAATCTGGGGCCTCTCCAAGGGCAATAAGCCTTCTTACTTGCTGAACCAATTCTTCAACCCCAAGGGTTCAGAACATCTGGAGAACACTGCAGTCGACGGAGTCTTACGTGGGTTCTTTGGGTTATTAATTTACCTTCTGTTGACTTCATGTCACAGGCTGGCAATCTTTTTCTGGAAAGGGCCAGATAGTAAATATTAAGTTGCTTTAGATCTTAGCTGAAATTGTCGAACCCTGTAAACTCTTCCATCATTGCCTGAACTATGATTAAATGTAATGACTTATAGATACAAATTTAAAAAATACAGGGCTGGAGAGATGGCTCAGTGGTTAAGAGCACTGACTGCTCTTCAAGAGGTCCCAAGTTCAATTCCCAACACCCACATGGTAGCTCCCAGCTGCCTGTAACTCCAGTTCCAGAGAATCCAAAACCCTTACACAGATACACATATAGGCAAAAACCAGTGCACATAAAATAAACCATTTTTTTATTTAAAGTATTTTTTTTAATTTTATGTGTGTGTATGTATATGTGTGTGTAGGCCTGCACGTATCATGTCACACTTGTGGAGGCCAGAGAATAACAGAAGTAAGTTCTCTCCTGTGGAATGCTGGTGTCAGATCAAGTCATCAGGCTCGGCAGCAGGCCTTTGCTAACGGAGTGGCCTTGCTGGCCCTAGACAGATACATCATATTTTCCTATCATAAAATGTTTCTATGCCTTTTAGCAATTTAAATTTTTATACTACTCTTACTATGGCTAGTGTGAATTTTTACACTACCCTTACTATAGGCAGCAGGCTAGATTTGGCTACCTGTCAATGTTTCAAATGTTTCAAATTTCAGTCAGTGTTTCAAATTTCAGTCAACTATTGATTGAAAATTTTAATCTAGTAAAAACATTTTTTTTTCTGCTGCTTTCAAATATCTTGGGGTATTCGGTAATTTATGTGTCTTTTATTTCTTACCCCTTAGGAGTACCTTTGAGGAAAGGAGAGTATTTCTGTGAGTACACGGTCTATACCCTGCCTCGGCTGCCTTTCCTTGAAGGATTGTAACAGGATGTCTGCACAGTCGGTGGAAGAAGATTCAATACTTATAATCCCAAATCCAGATGAAGAAGAAAAAATTCTGAGAGTGAAACTAGAGGAGGACCCTGATGGTGAGGAGGGATCGAGTGTTTCCTGGAATCATCTCCCTGACCCAGAGGTTTTCCGACAGCGGTTCAGGCAGTTTGGATACCAGGACTCACCAGGTCCCAGAGAGGCTGTAAGCCAGCTCCGAGAACTTTGCCGCCTGTGGCTCAGACCAGAGACACACACTAAGGAACAGATACTGGAGCTGGTAGTGTTAGAGCAGTTTGTTGCCATCCTACCTAAGGAGCTACAGACTTGGGTTCGAGAACATCACCCGGAGAATGGAGAGGAGGCAGTGACCGTGCTAGAGGACTTGGAGAGTGAACTTGATGATCCTGGACAGCCGGTGAGCATGTTTGCCCCATTTTTTCCAAGTCAGAAACACTCAATATAGCAGTGGGCAACCTGCGATTAACTTCATTTGACTAAGTTAAATTGTGTCTGTGCCTCCCTCCTGTTCATCTGCCACTCTGCAACACCTCTGCTGCTCTGTGGTTGGAGTTTTCCTTGTGCTGCCAAACAGCTCCCAAATGAAGACACGGAGACATTATTAATTATGAGTGTTCCACTAACTCTTTTAACTTCACCTGTTTCTGTTCATCTGCGTTGTGCTGCGGGGCTTTTTACTTTTCTTTTCATTCTGTGTGTCCTACTTTCCTGCTTCCTTCCTGTCTGGCTGACTGGCCCTTGGTGTTTCCCTATCGTTTCCTTTTCTTCTCTGAGCCTAAATCCCTCCTCCTACTTACTCTCCTGCCCAGAAGTCCCTTCTACCCATACCTCCTCCCTCGACGTTGGCCATTCAGCTTTTTATTAAACCAGTCAGGTGCCTTAGGCAGGCAGAGTAAAACAGCAGCACATCTTTACGTGATATAAATAAATGCTATACATCTTTACATAGTTAAACAGATGTTCTGCAGTGGAAACATGCTACAGTCTCTACGTAGTTAAATATTCTGCAACACTGCTCTGCTGTCTAGAACTTTGTATTGCATTTTTTTTGTGGTATCTCTTATGTGCTTAGTATCAAAATTCCTTCTCAGCCAAACTAAAACCTTGTTTTCAGGTTTCTCTCCGCCGGCGGAAACGGGAAGTGCTTGTAGAAGAGATGTCTCAAGAAGACGCTCAGGGATTACCAAGTTCGGAGCTTGATGCTGTGGAGAACCAGCTCAAGTGGGCCTCCTGGGAACTCAGCTCTCTGAGGCACTGTGGTGAGGACCAGAACTCTATGGGGCCGGCCTTTCCCAGAGTGCTTTGCTTGTTTTTTGGAGAAACACTTTTAAACTGCTGTTTAGAAATTGCCATGCTGTGAAGAGCCTGACTTTCCTGGTGGCCGACTCAATGGCCTCGGGAGTTTTTACTCCTCGGTTTTAGCATCTCTAGCTTTTCTTTCATGACGACTGCCCATACTGGGGCTTCGGCCTGCCTGACTCTGCGCCAGTGCCTGTAGACCATGCCTGATTCACACAAGCCACTGCTTGTCTGCCGTCTGCATTGTGCTCTCTTGTTCTTGGTCTCCTGCCTAACTGTGTTAATATGGTGAACTTACCGGAAGTCTCCTTCAACCTTTTTATTTTATTACTTGAATTACTTTATAAGATTTCAGCTATTTCTGTTTTTTCCCCTCAATATTTTACCCCTTTTTAATTAAGAAACTTTCCCCCCATATTTTTTAATATTTATTTATTTATTTATTTATTTATTTATTTATTTATTTATTATGTATACAATGTTCTGTCTGTGTGTATGCCTGAAGGCCAGAAGAGGGCGCCAGACCTCTTTACAGATGGTTGTGAGCCACCATGTGGTTGCTGGGAATTGAACTCAGGACCTTTGGAAGGGCAGGCAGTGCTCTTAACCTCTGAGCCATCTCTCCAGCCCCCTTCCCCCCATATTTTAATTTATTTTATGTGTATGGGTGTTTTGCCTTCATGTGTGTCTGTAGCATGTGCGTGCTAGGTGTCCTTGGAACTCAGAAGAGGAAGTCAGACCCCCTGGAGCTGGAGATACAGATGGTTGTGAGCTGCCCCGTGGGTGCAGGGGATTAAACCTGGGTCCTCTGGAAGAGCGGACAGTGCTCAACCACTGGGCCATCTCTGCAGACCCCTTAAGAAGCTTTTTAAAAAGATCTTTTAAATCAAAAGGATGTGTGCTTGTGCATGAGGATGTGCATGTGCGTGCAGGTCTCAGGGCAGGGGAGAGCACGGGATCCCTGGAGCTGTTGGTGGGTAATGAGCCCAGTGAGGGTGCAGGGAGCTGAACTCGGCTTTTTTTCAAGAACTGTATGTGCTCTTAACCACTGAATCATCTCTGCAGCCCTCTAGAACTTAAAAAATAAAAAACTCAGAAATGAGATGAGGGTAAACTCTTTACTTTTTCCTAAGTATTCAAACTAGGCTCCCAAGCTATAATATGACTTAAATGCAGAACTATCAAAGTATAATTGTAATAATTCAGATTTTTTTGTTTCCAATATTCTGGCACTTAATGCTGTGTACTTGTTTATATGACCTAGGATACTAAACTTGCTGTATTGGCGTTTTGTTTGTAGGAAGTTTGTTTGAGAGTGCGTCAGTCTTTGAGGTAGATGGAGATAATGTTGGTTTGCCACACATGAGGACATGAGCAGGTTTTCTTCCTGTGTGAGAGGATGGTACTGTAAATCAGACCTGAGGCAGAGGTGCGATCTGCTCACTCCTGTGGTTTTCCCTAGCTCGTTGGATGTTGTTCAGTGTGCTCTTCAGAGGTGTACTTTCATGGGTCAAAGCTGTTCCCTTCCTAAATTTTGGGATGGCTTTCCATGGTTGGCCTCATTTGAGCAGTCTAGCCGCTTTCACGTTCAGAGAGTTCCATTTGTTTCATGTCACGCATCCTCACTTGCCCTTCATACTTGACTTTTCAAATAGCTAAGCCGGGTTGACCCTTCGGGCCCTTGGGTCTCCCTCCCCCCTGCTTTCCCGCTTATTTACCCGTGGTGGCTTCCATCTTTGGCCACTCTCGAGTGCTGCTGCTCACCGTAGTCCCTGTTACGCAGTGTGGCCTAAGCTTCAGGGAACTGTGGGTGAGTCTTGCTCTCTCCTCTGCCCATGAGTAGGCAGTGCTGCCACTGTAAAACCAAGGCTTTTTTCTAGACACGTCTCACTCAGATTTACAAGGAACAATGTTTCTGCCTGCTGTGACAAATAGCAAATTGGGGTGAGCTGCTTTAATGCGGACTTTTCATTATGGTGTATTGAAGCTCTGAGTGTCGGCTTTAGTTAACATGGGCTGCCTCAAGCCATCCTTGACTGTTTTTGGTTTTATTTATTCTGGTTTTTTTGTTTTGTTTTGTGTTTTTGTTTGTTTGTTTGTTTGAGCCTTTGTCTCTGCCTGGTCTGAAGATGCCTGCCTCCTCTGGGTGCTGGAGTCTAAGGAATGTGCCACCACACCAGTTCTCGACTTCTTATCAGGACTCTGTTCTGCTTTGAGTTCAGTTTTGATTGTGACACATTAATTTATTTCAGCAGCAGCTGTTGTTTGACACCTTCTTTTTGTTATTCCTTCATTTTGCTATAATCTCTTAAAAACTGTTTCCTAATGGCCGTCAGTTTTCCTCCCGAAGTTTCCTTCAGACCTAGTCATATCAGTTTGATTTTTCACTTTTGTTTTATAACCTGTCACCTTTTTGACTACGTTCTATTTAGAAAATTTTGTGTGTGTGTATTACATGTATGTGTGTATGTATGTGTGTGTATGTGTGTTTGTATGTATGTATGTATATGTATGTCATTTGTTCAGTTGCCCAGAGAGTTCAGAAGAGGAAGTTGGACCCCCTAGACCTGGAATTGTGATGGTGGTTGTGAGCCTCCCAGTGTGGGTGCTGGAACTGAACTTGGGTTCTCTGAAGGGCCATGTGCTCCTCATGACTGAGCAATCTCTCTAGCCCCTATGTTAAATTTAGATAAAACCAGCGCACACCTTTAATCCCAGCACTTGGGAGACAGGGGCTGTTGGATCTGAGTTTGAGGCCACCCTGGTCTACAGAATGAATTTCAGGACAGACAGGGATGCACAGAGAAACCCTGTCTTGAAAAATCAAAAACAAACAAAATAGATAAAATAAAACAAACAAACTAGATCAGATAAGACCTTGTGTGCCGTTAAGTTGTCAGGCATTAGCTCACTGGCCTCACCCCCCTTTTCCTTTATTGACAATTGTCAACCTTATATATTCATAGATGTGTACAGGGTTTTTTTTTTTGTTTGCTTGCTTTTGTTTTAGTTCATGAACAACTTTTTGTTTTGTTTTGTTTGTTTGTTTTTTTGCCAGGCATGGTGGTGCATAATTTTAATGCCAGCATTAGGAGGCAGCGGTAGGCCGAATTAGTCTATACATAGCAAGTTCCAGGCTGGCCGTGGCTACATAGTGAGACCTTGTCTCAACAACAAATAACCATTTTTTTTTTCCTCTTCAAGTTCTTTTCTCTTTAAGTAGGAACTGAGTGATACTTGTATTTTCTTTTATTTCAGATGATGATGTCAGGACAGAAAATGGAGCGCTGGCTCCAAAGCAGGAGATTGCTTCCGCTGTGGAATCTCAGGAAGTTCCTGGCACTCTTAATATAGGTGTTCCTCAGATTTTTAAATATGGAGAAACCTGTTTACCCAAGGGCAGATTTGAAAGAAAGAGAAATCCCTCTCGAAAGAAACAGCACATATGTGACGAATGTGGAAAACACTTCAGCCAGGGCTCAGCCCTTATTCTTCACCAGAGAATCCACAGTGGGGAGAAGCCGTACGGATGTGTCGAGTGCGGAAAAGCCTTCAGCAGAAGCTCCATCCTTGTGCAGCACCAGCGAGTCCACACTGGGGAGAAACCTTACAAGTGTCTTGAGTGTGGGAAAGCCTTCAGCCAGAATTCTGGGCTCATTAATCATCAGCGAATCCACACTGGGGAGAAACCTTATGAATGTGTCCAGTGTGGAAAGTCCTATAGTCAGAGCTCAAACCTTTTTAGACATCAGAGACGACACAATGCAGAAAAACTTTTGAATGTTGTGAAAGTTTAAGAAATTAGGGGGAAACAATGAGCACTCAGGTCTTTTTCTTCAGAAATGAAGACAATTAAAAACATGAAGTGATAAAAGTTTTTTTCCCTGTTGACTGAGAAAATCCACTGGGGGATACAAAAAAAATCTTCATTCATCATTATTATCTCGAAAGAAATGCTGTTAGGCCTAAAAACTGAAATTTTAAATAATTCAGGTATTAATACCTAAAATTTCCATGTGATATTTATATTCTCTTTTCTCCCAAGTAATGAGCTACCTAATTCTTTGTCCCTTTCTTAACAATTTCCTTTTTCAGACAAAGAGTTTATTTCTGTGTTGGTCATTGGAATGTTGTTTTATAAGGATACATACCTTTCTATTTTAAAAGGCAACGTAAGAATTGTAAAATCTAAAAGCCCATCATTTAAAAACATCTTTGAACATTTAGTTTCCTTTTGTTCAGTTTGAGTATATTTGGGGAAACTAGAAGATACAGACTAGTCAAAGCCTCAGTGTTAAATGCGCCTTAAGATCTCAGATGAGTGATGGTGGCAGAATTTTAAAGAGTGAAGGGAAAAACTGGAAAAGTTACACACTGAGGTGTATCCGTTACGTACAGGCATCTTTCCTTAGGAAAACAACAGCAACAACAAAACTGATTTTATCTAAGTTGTGGGCATCTTACTAATGAAGAGAGTTTCCTATGTAAAAATCACACTTGTAAAGTGAAGATAAATGTTACACTAAGGAAGAATGCTGGTGTTGAAAGGCAGATGTAAAATTAGGCACTTAGATGATGTGGCTTTTAGAAAATCTCAAGTCTCACTCATTTTGCTCTCATCCTAGTTAAGGGTATAGAAAACTTAAGGGGAGGGCAACAGTATCAGGTTTGCTTTTCTTATTCCTTTGGTACAAAAGGGTTGAACACCAGGCTAAAGCAGCCATGCATTTGTTACTGAACATTTTACCGACAATGCACTGTGCTAGGTACTGTAATCCTCCTGTCAGCAGGTAGGCATTTGTTCCACTGTAAGTCACAGGGGTTTCCCCGTCAGCATTCCCAGGTCACTCTGAGATTCCCAGAGTTTAGTTCTCTTAGCAGTGTGTTGTGTTTGGAGGGAGGTCAGCTCAGAAAGCTAGCTAGTCAGCTCTTCGCACTTTTCAGAGGTGAGCTCAAGATACCCTCTATTAGTTTAAACAGGTTTGAATCTTAAAAATCCAAATGTAATTTCTAGTAGTATTGTAGTTATAACTACACGTTAAGTTGAATGGACCTTCAAAAATAAATAACTAGGCTATGAATAACTAGTTTTATTAACTGGCAGAATTGATTGAATTGTTTAATTTACAGTCTTAACACATTTTTTAAAAAAACATTAAATGTATTACATTTTAGTAGTAGGATTCTGTGTACCTGGCTAAGAATCCAGGTACTGTGGCTCTACTGTTTAGTGGCAAACTCCGGAAGTTAAAGCATCGAGGATAAGAGAATGTGGGTTTTTTTTTGTTTGTTTGTTTGTTTTTTATGTAAGACAGGCGTCATTACATGGAAAATGATCCACAGGAGGACAAATATTTCCCGCAATTTGGGTTATATCTGGTACTTGGTTGAATTTTAAACTGAAAAGTGAGATTTTTGCGTGAGTTATTGAAAACAGTTCTAAATGCAGTACAGCTGGTGAATGAGGCAGAATGAAGCTTGTTCATAGATTTCGGATAACAATTCTAAGAAACGTGCTTTATAGATTAAGATTTATTGAAGTATAAATATGTAGTAATGCTATAATGTATTTTTAAGTTATACAAGAAAAGTAGGGACTTTTGTTTGGGTCTTTTCTCTGTGGCTGAGAGGAAACACATTAATGTCCAATAAAGCTGTAAACGCCTCTGCTCTAAGGTAGCGTGACCTGGAATCGTGTTACTTATTTGTTTATGGCTGGTCCTTTCCCAGCAGGTTTTTGAGGTGGCACATTTGATGACTGCTGGGATGACAGAGTAGGTAATAGGGTGGAATGCCAGACTTACCAATTTTAGGGGTAGATTTGGTAATGTGGAAGCGCAGAAAAGGCGGTACTAGAGCTGGCAGATAGGTGTTGTCTTGCCGGTTCTGACCCCTGTGTATCTGTTGGGAAGGAAGCTCAGACAAGGGACTGGTCTAAAACCCCTCATGGTAGAAAGGAAAAGGAAAGCAGTGGGTGTATATTTAACTGACTCTGGCTAGGCGTAAGTCTCCACTAGACAGATTAATTTACAGTAACAGGACTCTGGCTAGGCGTAAGTCTCCACTAGACAGATTAATTTACAGTAACAGGTAGTGATTGTCTTCAGAACTGTCCCCACACAGGTCATCATAATTTGGGGGTGCCCAGTCTAATGAAGTAGACATGAGCGGGTGGCCAGCAGTAGCCTAGCCAACACCTTTCTGGTTAACACTTATGTGAAGGCATGCGCACTAATGGGCCCAACAGGCTGTCTGGTGATTTTATAGTCACAGATGTTCCATTAGCAGCCTGTCTTAGATTTGTGTGAGCTTTGGGGAGGGTGCCTGTTCTGAGAGAATGTGCATGCTAAACATGCTTGGAGTACTTAATCATCTAGAGTTGTGGACTAGGAAAACAAGACCCAACAATCTCGGAACTTGTGACTTGGAAATGGCCACTTAGAACTGCAACACAAACCTAGTTCTGTGGATTCTACAAGCCAGTTTGTTTGTTTGTTTGCTTATCTGTCAAGAGTGATGGTGTTAGCCAGGGTGGTGGTGCACACCTTTAATTCCAGCACTCCAGAGGCAGAGGTAGGTGGTTGTTTGTGAGTTCAAGACAAACTTGGTCTATTGAGTGAGTTCCAGGACAGCAAGGACTAGGACTACACAGAGAAACCCTGTCTCAAAAAACCAAATTAAAAAAAAAAGATGGCAGTACAAATTTAATAAACTTGAAAGTTATTAGATATACCCATTTAAATTTTCCACAATGCAGAAACAAAAGATGAAAAAAGACATCAGATTTAGCCAGAAATGGTGGTAATCTGGTTTATTGTCCTTCCAAATTTAGCTCTATACACGTTTAAGCAAACACCTTTAAAATAACAGTCTTGGATTGAGTACAGGCACCAACTAAAGTGCCTTACTCTGCTTTAATCCTCAACAGACCTGAGGTCATTACATAGCTCCATCTACCGCAGAGAGACTGGTTTTCCCTCCCCCACTGCTGTGGGCATTTTCCATAGTTATAGTATTCCTTTGCATTATTACACTCAGTCCATCTAACCCACCCCTACTGATGGGTTTGTAGGTTCTTTATGCACCTATGTAGTTGTTCCTATAGCGCAAATAACTAGAAATGAATTCATTGGGTCAGGAAATACATATTTGACATTTTTGAGGAAATACAACTTTAAAAGTTGGACCAATAACTCCATTAATAGTAAGAATACCTGTTTGGCTGCTCTCCTGGCAGTACTGCAGCCTGAAAAGGTTTTGCTTGTCTTACAGACCAGGTCTTTTTTCATTTTCTTTTTTCTTTGTGTGTGTGCATGTATGTATGTGTGTGTGCACGCGTGCATGTGTGCCTTTATTAGTAAGAAGGAACTTTTTTTGTTCATTGGCTGTTTTATGTCCTGTTTTTGTCTTGTTCTTTTGTTCTAATTATGAAAGTATAAATGACTACATTAACATCATAAACTTAAGAGAGACAAATGTAAGACCGTTTTCCCAGGTCAGTTCCATTTTCTAGTTTACTGTACATCCTAGTATAGTTTGTGCACATTTCCATGTGAATATACAGAAATGTGGACACCCTTTAAATAAACGGGATTATTATGAATTTTAAGACATCTTTGTCTTATATATTCTGGTCTTCAAACTCCTGGAAGGTGGATGGCTGGCTGTAAGGCACTTGTTGCCTGACACTCTCCTCCATCCTCTGACAGATAGCTGTAGAGTCTTCACCTCTGTAGAGTACTCATTGCCCACAGAGCCGCCTTACCCACACTGGACAGCCCTTATCTGTTTGGGAAAAGGAGAGAGAAGAAACCTTCCTATTTGCATTTCCCTGACGAATAGTGAAGTTGGTCATTTATAATTTCCAGAGGATTGTCCATGCTTCTATTGCCTTTGTACTGGGTTATGTGGGTATCTGTGTTCAGCATCTCTTTCCTCGTTTACGGCAACAGTATCCCTTTTTCTTGTGGTTAACCCATTCCATATGGCTTTGGTGAGCACATGACCAGCCACAGTGATTAGACAGCGGGCATCAATCTGAAGCAGGCTAAGGAGAGCGCTCAAGAGAACAGCAACTCCTGGAAAGAAGGCTTTGGAGACACTGGAGACCCAAGGACGACGGGAGCCTGCATTTTTCCTATGTGGAGAAAGTCTCCGAGGAGAAACTCAGAGGCTAGCAGAGATGGTGAAAAACTAAGTCTTGATGTCATTTTTCTGGAGGCCCTAGATCCAGTTGTGCCTAAAGCCTGCCCTACCTCTGGACTTTAAAGTTTGTGAGCCAATAAAGTCCCTTTCTTATTTAAGATAATTGTATTTGTCCTGATTAATATAGGGTATTTGTATTTTCTTGTTGATTTGTAGAAAACTTGTAGTTTTAATTCTAGATTCACACATATAAGTTAATAAAATTAGCAATGGCCTTTTATAATTTGGACTCTGTCAGCCTCTGCCATGTGTGCCTTTACTCTCTCTTCCTCAGTTCACACACCATTCCCATATTGACATTCTAACAGTGGCTTTCATTAAGTCTGAGCAACTTTTCATACATTTTCATACATTGTCTCCAACAGATTGACTGGGTCCAGGTATGTTAAACTGCTCAATCTGTTAGGTGTCTATTGCTGTGATAGACACCATGACCGAAAGCAGCTGGGGGAGGAAAGAGTTTACTTCATCTTACAACTCTCAGGTTACTTGAGTTCCTGCCCAGACTTTACTTCTGTCTCTGAGTTCAGTCAGGGCAGGAACTCCAGACAGAAACTTGAAGAACTGATGTAGAGGCCATGGAGGAATGTTGATTTGGCTTGTGCCTAATAGCATCCTGAACCTGCTTTCTTACAGCAACCAGGGCCACCAGCCGAGGGGGTGACACACCCTGCAGTGAACTGGGCCCTCTCCATCAGTCATCTATCCAGAACATGCACCACATGCTCCACTGGCCAGCGTGGTGGGGGCACCAGCTTGTGTCACATTGATGGCCAGCACACTGCTGTACCTAGCAAACATGGCTCAGGGCACTGCCTTCATACCTACTACCCGTAGTCCTGGGAGCCCTGCACAATTACCTTAACCCAGCATGGGTTTTTGGGAGAAGGGCACTCTATTTTAGGTCCATTGTCTTGCAGCTCTGTGAGCCCAACACCTAGTATGATGGAAAGAATCTTATGCAAGTTTATAGGACATTTTCTTGATTAATGTGGGAGGGTCCGGCTCATTGTGGGTGGTGTCACCCCTCATCAGGTGGTCCTGGATGATGTAAGAATGTGGGCTGAGCAAGCACTGAGCACCAGTAAGCACGCCTCCATGGTCTCTGCAGCAGTCCTGCCTCCAGGTTCCTGCCCAGCTTGAGCTGTTCCCATGATGAACTATGATGTGAAAGTCTAACTGGAGTAGACTGTTTACTCCCAAGTTGCTTTTGGTCGTGGTGTTTTATCACAGCAATAGAAACCCTAAGATGTGTGTGTGTGTGTGTGTGTGTGTGTGTGTGTGTGTGTGTTTTACAAACTGTATGTGGTGGTTTGAAAGAAAAGGCCTTCATAGAGAGTGGCACTATTAGAATGTGTGGCCTTGGAGGAAATGTGTCACTGGGGGGGGGGGGGGTTTGAGGTCTTCAATGCTCAAGCTACACCCAATGCAACAGTTCAGTCCTCTTCCTGTTGCCTGTGGATCAAGTTATAGAACTCTTGGTTCCTTCTCCAGCACCATGTCTGCCTGCATGCTGCCATGTCCTGCCATAATAATGGACTAAACTTCTGAAACTGTAAGCCACCCCAATTAAATATTTTTCTCTTTTCCTTTATAAGAGTTGGTGTCATGGTACCTCTCCAGATCAATAAAATTCTAAGACTATAAATATGTATATATATATATATATATATATATATACACACACACACACACACACACACATATGTGGCTTCATGCAGATGAAGTCTATAGTGCTAGCATACTACTTGTGGACTCAAGTTTGGGGTAGTTTTTTATTTTTATATATTTTCTACTGTTTATCCTCCATAAGATAATACATTAAGATTTGGTGCTGGTGGATGCCTTTAATCCCAGCACATCTTTTGAGTTTCAAGCCAGCTTGCTCTGCATAGACCCTGTTTCAAACAACAAAAGCCCTCAGACTATAAAGAAGCAGTTAAGAAACTGAATGGTCTTTGTTTTCCACATTAGTCCTCGCCATCATGTTGCTTCTTTGCCTGGAACCTCCCATAGTCTCTCAGTGCATTCAGAAGTGAAACCTTGAACCCTTTGCACACCCTCCAGAATGTGCACCACTGCCTTGTCTAGGATGCCAATTTCCCATGTATTATTTCCGCCATTAGTCACTGGTAGCCATCTGGGCCATCAGATTCCGTCTCCACACTCTCATTGCTTATGTTCAAGGAATCCTTACTTCACTGAACGATGGCCCCAGGATGAAGTGGTGCTGGCAATTAGAGAAGTTGAAGAGAAGACAGTTTTATCAGCTGTAAGTGAAAAAGTGGAAGGTTTTCATTTAAGGGAAGAAAAAAAAAACTGACGATGTTCCAGTAAGAATGAATCTTGTGAAATTGTGAAGGGAAATGTTGTTATTATTCTAACATCTCAAAATGCAAGTTGTAGACGTGGTGCACAGTGAGTGCTTAAATCAGGAGATGGTGTTAAGAATGCAGTACTGTTTACGTGATACAGAGGGTCAAATCTTCCAAAGTGCACAGCAACCACAGCGAGGGACTACATACACTCTAGCTATGTAGCTGGTTGGTACCAGCTGATGCTTCAGTTGTCTCCATATCCATAAAGGACCCTTGTAACATGAGGGCCTGCTTGTTGGGATTTCTGTCCTGCCCGGTTCCCACAGTCTTTAGGTACCAAGGAAAATCACACAGAGTCTAGTCTACATAGATATAAACTGATTGGCCCATTAGCTCAGGCTTCTTATTAGCTCTTATTACTTATATTAGCCCATTATTCTTATCTATGTTAGCCACATGGCTCGGTACCTTTTTCAACGGGGCCGGTCACATCCTGCTTCTTCGGTGTCTGGACAGGACTTGGGAGGAATGGGTTTTCTCCTTCCCAGAATTCTCCTGTTCTCTTTGACCCACCTATACTTCCTGCCTGGCTACTGGCCAATCAGTATTTATTTAAAACATAATTGACAGAATACGACTGTCCCACACCAGACCCTTTTCCTGCTCACAACCTAAAGTTGCATAAAGTCTGCAATTCATCGGCAGGACACCACAAACACTCTTGCCTATATAATCTTCCTCTCTCTCATTCCATCTTGTCAGCCCATGCATTGCTGCAGCACCAGTACCAATAACATCTCTTCAGGATGGTTTTGCATATTTATGACTTCAGGGTAGTATACACTGGCTGGTTTCCTTAGAACTGTTACCACTGAGAATGGCTGGTAACCAGTGCTGGGACCAGCTAGCTCCATCTCTCGGAAAAATTGCAAGAACTTCTGGTAGCTGATGGTTCTGACTGGAAGAAGAGCAGTGAAGACACTAACACTAGGTAGGATTTGAGTCACTGGCACACAAAGTTTGGAACTGTCATTTAGGAACCGAGAACCTCTATCACTAACACACAGGGTCATGTACTTTGCCTATTCACAGTCTATTTGGACTTAGCAAGACTGTCAGTGGACTGGCGAAGTTCTATGCCTTATTGGCATAGCCCCATGGATATCATGGAACTACAGTATTTACAGGACCACAGTACCACAGCTCCATTTTGTTCAATATTGGTCTGCATTACTGAAAATTAAACTAACCTTGTGTGTGCACCATAGGGATTCATGCTCACGAGGAAACCAAAATTAGACCACTACCAACAAATCACGGAGACAAAGTGGCATGGGATGTACACTCAGTTTGTGCATAGGACCCAACTCTCCATCTCTAGAGGATATGTGTGACGTCAGCATTAATGCCACTTTAATTACAGGATTTAAGGTTTCCTTGCATTCTCTGAAATAATTTCTGATATGCACTTGGTAATTTAGACTCAATAAAGGTTTGAGTTAGCTGGGTGGTGGTGGCGTACGCCTTTAATCCCAGCACTCGGGAGGCAGAGGCAGGCGGATCTCTGTGAGTTCGAGGCCAGCCTGGTCTACAAGGGCTAGTTCCAGGCCAGGAACCAAAAGCTACGGAGAAACTCTGTCTCGAAAAATCAAAAAAAAAAAAATAAAAATAAAGGTTTGAGATTCTAAGATGAATATATTTTCCTCATAATTTTGATTGAGACTTTCCACGTTTAGTTTTAAATATGGTAAGCTCCACATTAGTGCCTTATATTTTATAATGATATTGCTGTGAATTGTAAGAGATTTTCTTATAGAAAGGGTAAGAATTTCTATTTTTTAAATGGAGCATGGGCTGGACATTGATTTACACCATTTTCACGTGTGGGATCAGAATCTGTGCCCCAGACTTTCCCATAGCTGTCACATTCATGCGATTCTCCCTCCTCAGGAAGAATCTTTGTCTTCCTTCCTCTCTTCCTACTTCTTTTTCCATCCAAGGCAGGGTTTCTCTGTGTAGCCCTTGCTGTCCTGAAGTTTGCTATGTAGATCTGCTGCCTTTGCCTCCTGAAGACTGAAGTTAAAGGCATGCGCTATCACCACCTGGCTAGAGAATGGGTTTTCTTTTCTTTTCCTTTCCTTTCCTTTTTTTTTTTTTTTTTTTTTTTTTTTTTTTTTTTTTTTTTTTTTTTTGGTTTTTCGAGACAGGGTTTCTCTGTAGCTTTGGATCCTGTCCTGGAACTCGCTCTTGTGGACCAGGCTGGCCTCGAACTCACAGTGATCCGCCTGCCTCTGCCTCCCGAGTGCTGGGATTAAAGGCGTGCGCCACCACCACCCGGCCTAGAATGGGTTTTCTTAAAGTTACCATGATCAGGTTTGTTAAAACGTCTGCTACCCTGAACTGAGGGCAGTTTCCCTTCTATGTGCATCCTTTGATACCCAGTGAGACTGGTCACAGTTCGGAAAGGTTTCCTGTAAACAGACGTTTCCTGTCCCAACTCCTGGGTCCTAAATAACCGACTCAGAGGCTGAATATGAATTATAAATGCTCGGCCGAAAGCTCAGGCTTGCTACTAGCTTTTACACTTAAATTAACCCATTACTACTAATCTATGTATTGCCACATCGCTCATGGCTTTACCTGTCCTCTAGCACGGCTTACTTCCTAGGCAGCTAGGACATCTGCCTGACTCCACCCCCGTTCTTCCCATCATTCTCAGTTTGGCTTTCCCGCCTAACTTCCAGTCTGGCTACCGGCCTGTCTGCTTTTTATCAGCCAGTGAGAGTACACATACTCAGTGTACAGAAGGGTCATTCCCAGCAATTTCCCACGGGTATTATTTTTGCGGTTTTTCCCCAACGTGTATTCTCTGATGGTTAAAGAGATCAACGCTCCTACTAAAGCTTCTGCCACATTGAGCACATGGGTAGGGTTTCTCTCCAGTGCGGCTTCTCCGGTGTTTGATACGGCCTGAACTCTGACGGAAACATCGGGTGCACAGCGAGCACTCAGAGGGTTTTTTTCTTGTGTATATTCTACGGTGAAGGATGAGGTCAGAACTCTGACTAAAGGCTTTGCCGCAACTATCACAGTGGTAGGACTTTACACCCGAATGCATTCTCCGATGTTTTGTGAGGTCTGTGCTTTGACTGAAGCTTTTATCGCACAGATCGCATGTATATGGTTTCTCGCCAGTATGTGTTCTTTGATGCTTTACGAGGTCTGAACGGCGACTGAAACTCTTGGCACAGTCACTGCAGGGATAGGGTTTTTCCCCGGTGTGGATTCTCTGGTGGAGAACAAGGTTGGAGCTCTGACTGAAGGCCTTCCCACACTTACATACATAGGGCTTCTCCCCAGTGTGGACTCTATAATGTTTAATAAGATCCGACCTCCTACTGAACGTTTTACTGCACTTACCACACGGGTACGGCTTCTCTCCAGTGTGAATTCGCTGATGGTTAAGGAGATCTGAAAACCTACTGAAGGTTTTGGTACACTGGTTACATAGGTAGGGTTTCTCTCCGGTATGAATTCTCTGATGCAGAATAAGGACCGAGCTCTGATTAAAAGCCTTTCCACATTCGTTACATTTATATGGCTTCTCTCCAGTGTGAATCCTTTTGTGTTTAATAAGGTCTGAATTCTGACTGAAACTTTTGCTACACTGATTACATGAATAAGGTTTCTCCCCAGAGTGGATTCGCTGATGGAGATGAAGATCGGAGCTCTGACTAAAGGCCTTCTTACAAGCTTTACACTTATATGGTTTCTCCCCCGTGTGGGTTCGCCGATGTTTTATAAGATCAGAGCTCTGGCTGAAATGTTTATAACACTGGCTACACATATAAGGCTTCTCTCCAGTGTGGATCCTCTGATGTTTGACCATGTCTGAGTGCTGGCTAAAGCTTTTGCTACAGTGACCGCAGGGGTAGGGTTTTTCTCCTGTGTGGATTCTCTGGTGTATGATGAGATCTGAGCTCTGGCTGAAGGCCTTCCCACACTCCTTACATTTGTAAGGCTTTTCCCCAGTGTGGACTCTTTGATGTTTGACAAGGTCTGAGCTCCGACTAAAGCTTTTAATACACCATTTGCATGGATAGGGTTTCTCTCCAGTATGAATTCTCTGATGCAGAGCCAGGGCTGAGGGCGAACGAAAGCCCTTTCCACATTCATCACATTCGTGTGGTCTGTCCCAGTGAGTTCTCTGGTGTCTAACGAGACCCGTTTTCCAAGTAAAGTGCTGGCCACATTCATCACAGGTATACTGTCTTCTTCTTAAGCGGGGCTTTTCATTCAATTTGTCCCCCGATTCACGGAATTCTTTGCCTCTGGAATTCGGGAGAACATCCTCCTTGAGGCTGCCAGGTTCTTCAGTCAACGTTTCAGTGTTTCCTGTCATTTTCCTCCTCCGAAGCTGGCTCTCCGATCTTGATCTTGGTCTCACCATCTGGAAAAGTAAACAAAATTCCAATGGAAAATGTATTCCATGTTGCAGATAAGTTCCAGATGCAGCAAATCAGTGTTTGTCTATAGATGTTACCAGGAGAGGGGAGGATGTGGTACAAGGTGATCCTCGCGGTTAAGGTGGGGGACTGCAAATGAGCTGAGAGGCTTCCCACACTGAAGAAGACTGAGGAAAACTGGAAGAATCAATAAGTAATAATGGATCACATTTTGTGGAATGGACTTATCAGATACAAAAGTATGATTTTCACAGATGACCTGGGGAAACTGAAATTGATTCACTATGATAATAAAAGTGTGATTAGGTGAGAGCTAATAACTTGCTAATATAATTAAAGCAAGCAGTATAAAAAGCATAGGAAACAGAAGTGGGTTGGCTTTTAGCTAGCAAAACTCAGGTAGTTAGGCTAACAGTAAGGTACTAAAGAAAAGTAATAAGAGAGAAATAAAAACTGTTCAATTCCTTTGCATCTACCCTGAAGAGACAGTAAAAATAGTTCTTACACACAGAAATGCACTGTATTCTAAATACTTTCTACAAAAGTCACAAGCAGGATCAGTTCAAGACAGCGGTTTAAAATTGAATTTTCATACAACAACATCTATTGCAAAATAACTCGTATTTTTTTTTATTATGATCTCCAGCTGGAGCTACAAACAAGAGGGCCAGAGTAGTAAGATGGTCAAGTTCTTTCTACTTTTTCAATCTGCATGCCTTAGTGAGAGTAACAAGGAATCAATTTTGATGTAAAGACTGATTTCATTTTTTAATTGTGTGTGCCAGTACACTTAAAAATTATGTATGCTTTTATGTGGTTCTTTATGCCATGTGTAGCATGACTAATAAAAATCCAGGGACAGATACTGGGGTTCAACATGAAGATCAGAAAGGCAAAACATCCAACCACTACAGAGACCTTTTACCTCTACCAAATCTTCAGACTACAATGGCGGGATCCTGTCTCCACGAATCCTCAGATTCCACACCACGGAGTTTCTGTCCTTTCCCTTTATGTTCCTCTCTCTGCCCAGCCATATCACTCCTGTCCCCACCTCCCTAGTGCTGGGATTAAAGGATAAATTGTGGAAAGTAGCTGGTTCTCTCCTTCTATTGTGTGGGTCCTGGGGCTCACACTTAGGTTGGCAGGCTGGGTGCTAAGTGCTAAGTGTTTTCACCCTCTGAGTCATCTCACTGTCCCCCAAAATGACTAAAGAAATTACAGGTTTGCTATTTTTGCTTTTGTTTGAGATACGCTGTAGCCCAGTTTGGCCCGCAACTCATGGTAATCCTTCTGTCTCAACTCTTGAGTGCTGAGAAGACAGATGTTAGCACCTGGCTCTACCCCCACCTCCTTTATTTTTGTTTGCAGTGTAGCCTTTGGATGGCTTTGGACTCAGGGTAGTCCACCTGCCTCTGGCTCACCAGTGCTGGGATTACAGGTGATGCTATCATACCTAGCTGGGTTGCTACTTTTGTGGTGTAGGAGGTTCTTCTGTTCATGTGTTATTTTCATTGGTTAATGAATTAAGAAACTGCTTTGGGCCTTATAGGGCAGAACTTAGGTAGGCAGAGAAGACAGAACTGAATGCTGGGAAGAAGGGCAGAGTGGGAGACACCATGGATCTTCTGGCTGAGAAGGTCGCTGGTTAGAATCTTGCCAGTAAGCCATGGCACGTGGCAATACATAGATTAATGGAGATGGGTTAAACTAATATGTAAGAGTTAGCCAATAAGAAGTTAGAGCTAATGGCCAAGCAGTGTTTTAATTAATACAGTTTCTGTGTGATTATTTTAGGTGTAGGTTAGCCAGGCGGCCAGGACAAACAAAGGGCCCGCCCTCTCTCTTCACAACACTCTTGAGTGAAACTTGACTTTATAGGCACCAATGGGGACTTCTTGATTACAGAACACTAAATGGCTACACATTACAAACTTCTTATTATGTACTAGATGATTTCAGAACAGGTTTACAGATGGGTCTGAAAACATTCACTCATCTTCCCGCTCGGGATGGTCTCAGACACTGGTCAAAGCAAATTCTCCCACAGGCAGAACTTTAGAAATAAAACTGCCATTTGTCTACTATTTATGAAAGGAAATAAATCTAAGGATATAAGCCTAGATTGACTCATGGCTAATGAAAATCACTTATCAAATACATGGAAAGAACAAGATTGGAATGCTAGAAAGAAAGTAGAACCCTGGGAGAAACATTGGGATAGACCTTCCAGAATGGGCTCAGTATGCACATATATTGTGTTCTTTGTACATTTTCAGCAAAAGATAACCAGCAAACAAGCCTCTCAACCTGAAAGACAAGAACATCCACAGAACTACGTCAATCAGTCTCTATTTCAGCTGGCACGGTTGACTGATGTATAGAATGGTCACGGCAGCAAGGATGACGGCTATACATAGCTACAAACATATGGATCTCCTCTCTCCAAGGGGGCATGCCTATTATCAATTCCGTATGCCTGAATATTCAACAACCAGAGTGAACAGTGCACACCAACTAAAGGAACACTTCCTGGATAGCAATCAGTCAGGTTCCTGGAGGCAGATTCATTGTACAGGACCAGTTTTGTCATGAAATTTGTTTTCGCACTGCAGATACAAAGCTGTATTTATTTATGGTAATTCTGTTTGTTACCATGCTAGCCTATATAATACAACCTCGAAAAAAGTAATCTAAGAAAGGAAGTAGAGCAGTAACCTCAAATACCTGGAGCTCATGGGTCTTATGTATGTTCCATTGAGAAGGATGCAGACTTGGGATTATGAGGGAATGTTCTAAAGGCTACACTAGGAAAGTTGTCATAGAGGACATACTATGTGCCCTATGCCAAAGAACAAAAAATAAGCTGTCTATTTTTTTTAAAACAGTCAAACACATATGCATTACAGGAACTGAGAGTTGGAGGAGCTGTTTTAGTTAGGATTATTATTGCTGTGATGAAACACCATGACCAAAAAACTGGGGAAAAAAGGTTTTATTTGGCTTACAGATCCAGAGACACAGTCTATTGACGGAAGCTAGTGCAGGACCTCACACAGGGCAGGAACCTGGAGGAGGAGCTGATGTCAAGGCATGGAGGGCTGCTACTTGCTGGCTTGCTCATCATGGCTTGCTCAGCCTGCTTTCTTAGAGCAGCAAGGAGTCCCAGCCCAGGAGTGGCACTACCCACAGTGAGCTGGGCCCTCCCCCATCAATCACTAATTAAGAAAATGCCCTACAGGCCTGCCTACAGCCCAGTCTTATGGATGCATTTTCTCAACTGAGGTTCCTTCCTCTCAGATGACTTTAGCTTGTGTCAAGTTGAACTAGCCAGCACAGGAGTCACGAGAATAATTCCTCCTCTATATGAGAAATATATTACACACACACACACATACACATACACATACACACACGCACGTGTGTGTGTGTGTGTGTGTGCAATGGTGTATTTTATGATTATGGAGGCCAGAGAACAACCTATGGGAGCCAGTTCTCTTCTTCCACACATGTGGGTCCTGGGGATTGAACTTAGTAAATACCTTAACCTTTACTGCCAAGCCATCTCACTGTCCCCCATTATATACCTGACCATCCACTTGGGCTATTTTTACTTCCTATCCCTAATCCTGGGCCTGGTAAGTTTGAAGTTATAGCGCTCAACGGAGAGATGCTTCTACTATGGAACACAGTCAGGATTGCCAGTAAATTTGCCTCTTGGGTCATTTCAGGCTCTTCATACTATAGACACTGTGGTCATAATGACTGGTCACAATTCCAAGGAATATGTTGCTGTGTTTCAGAAGCAGAATATGTTGCTGCTGTATGCCATGAGCAAGGACTCTAGAGAATTCTTTGGGGGTACCTCTTCTCTCAAGTTTAATTTTAGGCCCACACAATGGCACTCTGAAGAGCCTGTAGGATAAAAGCCCTGCCCAAGACTTAAATAATGTAAGAAAATGAGTTTATAATATCAACTAGATAAAGAACTCTGAGCTATAATTAAGGATTTAAAATTACAGCTATGCATTAACCTAATTGTAAAAGTTGATAACACGGGAAATCCAAGACAAGTAAAGTTGGTTGTTATAGTGTTCTCTTAAAGGCAGGTTGGACAGGCTGAATACACAGTACAATAGCAGTCTCAAGTGACCTCAAGGTGTGAGGTCACTCATTAACTCTGGCTGTGAGGTCCCGCAAAAGTTCTAATCACTTAGAATGTAAGAGATTTTAATATCACCACATGTAGGGGATCACCCTGATTAATCAGTATCTAAGAAGCAGCAAGGGACCTGAAGACGAGCATTCACCTTCTCTGCTTCTGGGTGGCACACAGATGTGGCCAATGCCTCGGGTTCCTGTTGGTGAGATTTTCACCACGGTGGGCTGCACTGCTGAGCTGTGAGCTGGGATAAGTCCATTCTCCCTTAAGTCGCCTTTGTCAGGGTACTTTGTCACGGCCATGGGAAAAACGAACTACTGAATTTATTCCGTTACAAATAGCGTCCACTTGTCTTAGCTAGGATTACCTTGGCTTTGAGGAAACACCATAACCAAAGCAACTCATGGAGGAAAGGGTTTATTCCACTCACAGTTCCATAAACACAGTCATCATCAAAAGTAGTGAGGGCAGGAACCCGGAGGCAGAGGCTGTGGGGGCGGAGTGCTGTGTGTGTCCTGGCTGGCTCCACTCCACTCTCGCTGCGCTTCTTGGTGGTTATTTTTCTGCTGCAAGTGGGCTGTGCGCTCACCAACAGCCTCTCAGGCTCTCTTTGTGAAGCCTCAACTTCTCTGCACGACCCCTTCAATTCCGAGCCTTCAACTGACACTGAGGTGTGCACCTGCGCCAATGGCCTCTCCTGACCTCTCCCAGTGCCAAGCCTCAGCTGCTCTTCATGCCTTCAAAACCAGAACCTCCTGGGTGACTCTGACGTCCCCAAGTCCAGCCGCCAGCACATGGCACAGCTTTGACTGCTTCTGAAACACAGCCTCTGTGGGCTGACCCTGAGGAAACAGTTTCCAGGAGATTTCATCTCAATGATGCTAGCCTTTCTTAATCACCATCAATTTCTTAGCTCCAGCTAACCAACATCAATTGTCCCAACAAAGCAAAGGTTTCTGTGGTGGTTTGAATGTAATTGGTCCCATAAGCTCCTAGGGAGTGGCACTATCGGGAGGTGTGGCTTTGTTGGAACAGGTATGACCTTGCTGGAGGAAGTGTGTCACTGTGGGGGCAGGCTTTGAGGTTTCCTATGCTCAAGATACCACCCACTGTTGGAGACCAGTTCCTGTTGCCTTTTGATCAAGATGTAGGACTCTCAGCTCCAGAACCGTGTCTGCCTGCATACTGACATGCTCCCCGCCATGATGATAATGGACTGAACCTCTAAACTGTAAGCCAGCCACCAAAATCAAACATTTCCTTTATAAGAATTGCCATGGTCATACTGTCTCTTCACAGCAATAGAAACCCAATAACGACAGGGCTGGAGAGATGGCTCTGAGGTTAAGAGCACTAGCTACTCTTCCAGAGGTCCTGAGTTCAATTCCCAGCAACCACATGGTAGCTCACAGCCATCTGTAATAAGATCTTTTGCCAAGCCGGGCGGTGGTGATGCATGCCTTTAATCCCAGCACTCAGGAGGCAGAGGCAGGCGGATCTCTGTGAGTTAGAGACCAGCCTGGTCTACAGAGCTAGTTAGTTCCAGGACAGGCTCCAAAGCCACAGAGAAACTCTGTCTCGAAAAACAAAAAAAAAAAGAAAAAAAGTTTTGCCCTCTTCTGGCATGCAGGCAGAATACCATATGCATAATAAATAAATAAATTTTTAAAGAAAGAAAGAAACCCTAACGACAGGTTCACTTCAGAGGTGCCAGTCTTTTAACATGGCGACTCTCTCCTTCTCTCTCTCTTGATTTTCTGAAACAGGGCTTCTTTGTATAACAGCTCTGCGTTTCCTGAAACTCACCCTGTAGACCAGGCTGGCCTCAGACTCACAGAGATCCACCTGCTGTTGCCTCCCGAGGGCTGGGATTAAGGGCCTGCAGCACTGCCATCCAGCCTTATGGCTGACTCTTCAGCCCCAGCTGCTCAGAATGACAGAATCTTAATTCAAAGCGGCAAATGGATGTGATAGAGTCCTTAAACTTCCCTGTGAAACTACACAAGCCGGGCCTCCATCTGCCCCCAACATTCTTATCTTCCAAGACCCTACAAGATAGCTCACCAAGCATTGAACACCGAATGGCTTTTCTTTACACAACCCTCCCCAAAACATGGTGAGGTCCGTCACAGCAATACCCCACGATCCTGAACACAAGTACCCTGCGTGGGTGGACGGTGTTTCCCCAAGCAGATGTGGGTTAGGAAATGAAAATCCTCCTGAATTAGTGTCAGGTCCTAAAACAACACAGGCCATTGCCGTTGTTCTTGCCTGCCCAACAGAACCCAATGGTATGACTCTATTAAACACAACACATTCCGGCTGCAGAACATACAGAAATCAAGCTGGAGCTGACCTGAAAATATTCTTTCTGCAGGCCAGATTTTATAGGGCGTGGAAGTGCTATGGGCCACGGGCAGAGAAAACCCATCAATGCCCGCTGCAACACTGCAGGCTATGATTCTGACGGTGGTGGTCTAATGAGAATGGCTCCTACAGGCGCATAGTTTTGAATGCTTGGTCCCTTGTTGGTGGAATTGTTTGAGGATGATTAGGAGGTATGGCTTTTTGGAGAATGTATGTCACTGGGGGTGGGCTTCTTTGAAGTTTTCAAAGCCCACACCATTCCCAGTTAGCTCTTACCGCCTGCCTGCTGCCATTCTCTGACATGATGGTCACGGACATTTACTCTCTGAAATTGTAAGTGAGCCCCCAACAAACTCTTCTCTACATTGCCTTGTTCATGTCACCTTAGCACAGCAACAGGAAATTAAGACCCCGACTAGCAGGCAAGATGTGCCTGCGTGTACAATAACGGCACGAAGGTTATGGGGGTGTCTTAGTCACTGTTCTAACGCTACAGACTCCATGACCGTGACAACTCTTATAGAAGAAAACATTTAACTGGGGCTTGCTTACAGTTTCAGAGGGTTAGTCCACTATCACCATGGTAGACATGGTGCTGGAGGAGTAGCTGAGAGTTCTACATACAGATTCACAGGGAGCAGGGGTAGAGTAACACTGGCTTAGGCTTTTGAAACACCAAAGCCCACCTCCAGTAACACATTTCCTTCAACAAGACCATACCTCCCGATCCTTCTCAAGTAGTGAGAAGCATTCAAATATATGAACCTATCAGGGCCATTCTTCGTCAAATCACCACAGGGAGTAATAACTGCTTTTGGATTGGATTTGAACCTGATCATTCCCAGCACTGTAAATCTGGTTAAAAGCCACAGGTCCTAGTGGAGAACTCACTGCTGGTGTCTTGCTAAATGGAAAGGCTGTCAAACCGCCTTCTAAATATTTAAGTTTATATACCTAGGTTAGTGCTGCCCTCAACCTTGGCCAGAGGAGCTTCTTTCTTTCTGTCGTGGTCAGCAGTCACTGCAGAGACTGATAGCTGGTCAAAGTACTGAGCACAGTGACTAGTAAGTGCTAGGTCCTAAATGGGACATCTATTGTAACCGGCCTTCTCCCTAGACACAGGGGACACCCCAGAAGAGAGCGCAGAAAGGCTGGATGAGCTGAAGTTGGGGAGGATTCTGTGGACCACTATTTTTCAGACACGACACTGAACGCATTGCAGTTATGATTATCTGTACAAGATCAAGACAGTAAGGTATCTCAACATTCCTCCAGGCAGCTGGAGTGGGGGGGGGGGGGACGACATAAAGGGGGAAGGGTCTCTGGGTAACTGGTAGGGGGATTGGGGGTGAATGTGATCAAAATGCATTGTTTACATGCATGACATTGTGAAAGAATTAATAAAAATCTATTTTTAAAAGAAGAGGCGACTGAATAAAAGCTGTATCTCTAGAATTCAAAACAAAGCCGTATGACTTGGCTTGGAGCACAAAAGACATGGTACGGCTTGCCAGAGAGGGTGTAGACAATGGAGACCACTGGTACCACGGAAGGAACATGCAACGCACTGCTCCTCACCTCACAAAGGGTGATGCTCTTGAGAGTCACAGCTGAGCTGGATCTCCACAGGCACAACCGGACACCTCAGGAAACGAGTGGAGAATTACCATTTCTTCTGTAAGATCTTCTTGTCCACACAAGTGACTGAAGCCTGCAGGCGATGTGGTAGCCCTGAGTTCACATTGGAACCACTGTACAGAGGAGATGTCATTTCTGAGACTAGGGCTTCTAGATACGGAACAAAGAGAAGGAGAAAAATCTTATTTAGCTTCCAGGAGCCTTTCCTCTTAGAGAAGGCTTCCTTTCTGATCATGCAGGAAGCGGGAATTAACCCTCTTTAATTCAATCCCCCCCGCCCCTACACGACGCGGCGCTCAAACAAGACTGGAAATTAAGAATACTAAATTAGGGGTGTGGCTGGAATAACAGTGCAGGGAGGGGTTTGGTATTCGCGTCCCACACTCACGAGGCAGCTATCTCTTTTCCAGCTCCGCAGGCTGATTACGGGGGGTTCATCCACTTCGTGATTCCACTAGCACCCCAACATTTCGGACGTTCATGCAGATGAATAAAGGCTCAGTGAGCACAGACTAGCTATCATGAAACCGCTCGGTCCCCGTGTCCAAGACGCCGCTCTGACTCTCCTGTGCTGGAGAGACTGCCTGTCAACCACCCCTACAATCTCTCCGCGGTTTGGATGCTCCCTCAGCCGGCTGCTCTAGGAATCTGGGAGAATCACAACTCTATTGTGCATCCTCACTCCCGCACAGCAGCGGGAATTAGGAGTTCTTGCAGTTCACGACTGCAGCTCCCAGCTTTAGCCTAAGGCACTGGCTTGTCCTTTGCTGCGGTTAGTGATTCTTCAGGTGAATGTCAGGATCCATCATCTTTCATAAAAACTTTATAAAGTCAGATATTTTTCTGACCAGATAACTCTCGAGATCCATTTCTCTTCTGCATCTGCCTCTGCCCCCCGTTCCCCCCCCCCACTTAATCCCTTTCCTAAGTTTATTCCTCGGTTTTCCCCCCACCCTCCTCCCTGCCATCCATCCATACAGGGGACTGAACATGCTAGTTAAACATTCTACTACTGAACTGTATCCCCAGCTGTCTTTTGCACACTCCCCACCCCGCCTGTTTCAGTTAGTTCCTATTGCTGTAATGAAACCCTATGACCAAAAAGCAAGTTGGGGAGGAACGGGTTTAATTGGCTTAAACTTCATATAACTGTTTATTATTGAAGGAAGTCAGGACAGGATCCTGGAGGCAGGAGCTGATGCAAAGGTCATGGAAGGGTTCTGCTTATTGGCTTGCTGTCCGTGGCTTGCTCAACCTGCTTTCTTATAGAACCCAGGACCACCAGCCCGGGGGTCGTTCTTATAGAACCCATGGAACCACCCTCAGTGGCTGGGTCCTCCCCCATCAATAACTAATTTAGAAAACGCCCTATAACTGGTCTTATGGAGGCATTTTTCTCCGTTAAGTTTCCTTCCTTTCAGATAACACTAGGTTGTTAACATACGCCCAGCCACTACACTCCACCCCCCTTATGAAGCCAAGGTGCAGGCCTTAGATTTTCAATCCTTCTGCGTGAGCCTATGGTGTTGTGGGGATTTCAGACATGTCACTTCTTATTTTCTCTCTATAAAAATGACATTATTTATTTAGTGTGTATGTGTCTTTGCACATACCTTAACATAACATGGAGGTCAGAGGAAAAACTGCACTAATTGGTTGTTTCCTTCCCATTTCGTTGAGTTGCAGGACTGGAACTCGGGTTATTAGCTGCGCCAGCAAGTGCTTTATCCACGGAGGCGTCTTGCAGTCCTCTTGAGTGGTGGTGCTGTTTTGAAATAGGGTCTAGCTATACAGCTCTGGCTGACCTGGGACTCCTGGTTGTCTTCCTGCCTTAGGTTCCTGAGTGATGAGATTTTAGGTACGCACTCCCCAACCCCTGTTTTTCATGGTAAAATGACTTTCTTTATTGATATAGCATCATTGTCCAGCCAGTAGAAGCACAATAGTAGTAGTAGTGTGTGTGTTGTATGTATATCCTTAAAGGAAATTGGCTTACACAAATATAGAAACTGGTCAGGTAGTCTTGCAGTGCTCATGCGACTAGGAGTCTAATGCTGGAATTTGATATTGACAAAGCAGAAAGGAGCAGGAGCAAAGCGGAAGAAACCAGAGTCAAGCTAGGAGCCACAGGTGTAAGCTGAGACTCCTGGTCATGGAATGAAGCCTTGGGTTAATATTATTATTACTGGCTTTTATTTTTGAGACAGAGTCTCTATTATGTAGCTTTGACTCTTCTAGAAATCACTATTATAAATCAGAACTCATAAAGATCCCCCTGCCTCTGCCTTCTAAGCTGAGATTAAAGGTATGTGCCACAATGCCTTGATAACATTGGAATTTTTTAGGACTATGTGAATTTATTTATTCAGTAACTATTACTATATCAGACACTGCTACAACAGACACACAGGATCTAGAGTGGTCTTCAAAAGCCTGAGCCCTCTCAGCTTGAAGATTCATGAAGAAGCAAGGAGATGCATGCAGACTCTTGTGTCATGACCACAGAATTATGTGCTGTACAAAGCTCAGTGAATAACACGACTGGGCAACAGAACCGGGGTCAGAGAAAACGGCAAGAACATTCTTCTTTTTGATGTTTGTAATCGTGGTCGTCCCCCCAACCCCCAATCTATTTGTACAGAGACATGGTTTCTCTGTGTAACAGTCCTGGCTGTCCTGGAACTCACTTTGTAGACCAGGCTGGCCTCGAACTCGAGATCCATCGAACTCTGCCTCCTGGGATTAAAGTCATGCACCACCACTGCCTGCTGTAATCTTGATTTTAAGAAAACATAAACCATGCATGCATAGAAATGACTAGCTTTGCTGGAAGACTGTATGTAGTTCACCATAGAGTCCTGAAAGAACGTGAGTGCTGGTTTCTGAAGGGTATTTCAGAACCTGCATAACTTAGGTATTCTATCAGGCTCAACACCTGTATTTTGATTTACACCTTTTTTGGCTCTCAGGAAAGCTTTGTCTTTAAACAATGATCTTAATAAAGTTGGGAAAGAATAATCATCAGCAGGGAGTCCTTTGCAGCCAGACCAACTTGAGGGGAAAGTACACATAATTTAATCATCAGTAGCTTCATGTGGCCAATGTTGTCCATATTGGATAGTACAGATATTGAACATTTCTTGAAAACCTGACTTGATTCAGCTCTCAAGATCTGTTTCACTGTAAAATTTGTTTGCAATTTTATCATGTATTCAGTCACTCTTTTCTCAGTACACCCCTCCCTAGCCGACTCCCCAAAGAGCACGGCGGCCACAGAATAGTAGTCCTCCGGGGTTCCTAGAGGGACCCTCTCATCCCCACTTCCGGGGGGAGTGCTTCTAGTGGCTTCCCCGCTTCCCCGGGCGGTTCGGGCTACCTGCGGAGCCGAGGTGAGTGCCAAGGTGCAGCCCCTCGGCTTTGATGCCTTCCAGCCCCTTCTGGTCGGGCCGCCATCCTCCCGTACACCCTCCCTTCTACCCCTCGCCCCGCGCCCGTCTCAGGGAGAGCATGGAGCTGTGCCAGGCCTCTTCTAGGTCCGCGGGTCGCCTGTCTCTCATCTGGCGCCTCTGCTTGCCGCGCGCTCCCAGTTGCGGTTCTTTTACACCGATTGCTCTCCCACTTATCCGCGCCTCCTGCTTGCGGGTGCTGCCAGGGTCTTTGCTTGAGAACAAAGCTGGTTCCAGGGCCGGATCTCAGTCATGGTCTTGGCTTTCCTTTATTAAACACTCTGAGAGCACCAGCTTCTCTGTAGGTTATTATTTTAAAATCGGCGACAGGGTCTCACTCGTTGCCCAGGCTGGCCCTGAGCTCACGCTAGCCCAGGATGACCTTGAATTGGGCGAAGTCCTGCCTCAGCCTCCCCACAGAAGTCACAGCCCTGTGCTACCAGGTCTGGCTTTCTGTAATTGTATGCACTATTAGATACAAGTGTACTTCTGTTTAACACATGCCGCCCCCTCTTACCCCGCTGTTGAGTTCTGTAAGGCAGGGTAATGTCCTCATGACCGTCCAGCCCCTAATAGAGTGTCTGCACACAATAAATATTAACAAGTTTGTGAAAACCAGGCCCTCTGGTGAGCACCCTGACTTAGTAATCTGATGTGAGCGGCATTCAGCAGAGGCGGCATCAAGAGTGTGGACTTCAGAGTCAGGCCTATAGTCCCAGCTCGCAGGTGGTGGAGGCAGGGGGACCACATTGTTAAAGGCCAGCTCAAACTCAAAAACAAAACAATAACAACAACAACAAACACCAAACTCAACAAAAGCAAAGTCAACAAAACAGCAGTCCAGATTACCTCGCAAGCCCCATAGGTGGGGCAGCTTGGATACACTGTTTCTCTTAGCACAGGTGAACTTACACTGTAGCATGCTGTGAAGACAAAGTGAGTTGAGACATTTGAAATGGGCTGATAAGGCTGGGCTCTACTACAAAGGCCCAATGTGTTGTTAAGTATTAAATGATCAAGCAGGAACATTCTGACACCTTACTTTCAGGACAGATGCCTTAATAGTTAGTAACAGCCTTCCCTGGCAGGAGAGGATTGCTCAGAAGGGTCGTGGGGGTTTCCTCTTGGTTAGACTGATGGCTAGTTGGGGGCCTGGATTTGCCTTCCAGGTAGGGCTTGGACCCAAGCTCAGTGCCTCCCATCCCCTTCGCCATTTCATGGGCGACAATCCAGGTTTTCTGATCAGAACGGTTACTTTATATCCTCGTGGACAAGCTTGCTCCCCCAGTTTGTATGCTAAGAAGCAGGGGTGTGGCCCTGAAACACTGCAGTGCCTGTCTAGACATGCCCTCTGTGAGAGGATGGGAGAATCGAGAACTTGGGCTTGATTTTATTGATGTCCTTTTGGTAAATTTCCCAGTGAGGCCTGCCTATTTTGTAACTCACTCCTTGTGGAATGGGATTTGCCTCTTGCCTTGAGTATCTTACTGGGCCAGTTTTAAAATGTGGTTTTATTGTTGTTCAGGTGTGGTGAGACAGAGAACAGGAGGTGACTGAGTTGGAAAGGCTAGATTTGTTCCCACAGTCCTCAGGAGATGGGCCCTGCCTTGACACGAAAGCTCCCATTCAGGAGGCAGGAAAAGCGAGGGGAAATGGTAAGAATCTTGACTTACCATGGCAGTGGCGGAGCAGCAGAAACACATTTCGTGTTTGCTTGTTTGAGTCACTTCAGCGCACCTTGAGAGGTGGAGATTTTCACGCTTGTTTGCTGCTGACCTTGAAGTGGTTAGGATGGGAGAGTGGTCCTGAGGGTGAGAGCCTTCCTGAGACCTTGGGATGAGGGGATTCCCAGAGAAAGGATGCTCACACCTAGTTGCTTCCTGCTGTGGGAACTGGGAGGAGGATAATTGGTGTGAAAGTGTGTTTAACATACCAGCAGCCCGAGCTCCTGTAGCACCTTGCTCTTTCCAGGAGAGGGAATGGAATCTCAGAAAAGGTCAGCTGCTGAGTAAACTCTCACCATGATTACTAGACAGAGTATGATTGGCTGACTCCAACATTGGTGCTTTTGTGAGCTAAATCACTTCCCTGCAATCTGCCAAATGCTCTGGAAACGTTTCCCAGTTTGTATTAGGTACCTGACAGTGTTGACCAATGCTTCTTTGAAATTCGTTTTTGATCATGCTGACATTCACGTGAGTGCATACACATACGGACATGCGCGTGCACACACACATATGTAAGTTCAGTTATATATGTATTTGTGGTGTATAGTTTCATGTTATTTTTGGGTTGAGTAATTTTTGGCTCACAATGGTGAGCCAGAACAATATAGATTGTTGTATAGTCATGGACAAGACCAGTAGTCCCATTAAAGTGTTTGTATGATGTGTATCTGTGTGCATTTATGTACACCATGTGCAGGTGAGTCCCTGGACCTGGAGTTAAGGTGGTTGTGAGCCCCTGTGTGGGTACTGGGAACAGAACCTGGGTTCTCTGTAAGAGCAGTAAGTGTGCTGAACCATCTTCAGCAAACCCTCCCCACCCTAATAAAGTGTTTTTTCCCCCAAAAAGCTGAAGTAGTTTGAGGGAAATGTAGTTAACTTTAACCTTGTTAACCTTACAACTCCTTGACTGAGTCAGAGTTCTCAGCACTGACATGTCAGGATCTTTGTAGACGCTGTCACAGATGTAGTTCCTGGGATCTGATTTAGGTGCATCTGACTGAGCTAGAAGTCACCCCACTCACATCCTCAGTGAGTGAGATGAGGACATTAAAAACTCTCCCAAGGCACATGAAGGGAATATATGTAGCATCCTTACTAGTAGTATATCTAGTCTTACTAGTAGTATATCTAGCTGCCAGCCAGAACCGATAGCTAGCTAGTGAGTGATGCATAATGGTCTTTTTGTTTGTTTGATTTTGTCTTTTAGATTCTTTTATTTTTCATTTATTTACATGTTCTGTGTACTAAGTGTTTGCAGAGCCCTTGGAAGCCAGAAGTGGACATTGACTCCTCTGGAACTGAATTTACAGACTGCTCTCAGCTGCCCTGTAGGTGCTGGACTTGATCCCAGGTCCTTTGGGGGAACAGTTAGTATGTGTGCATGTTGTTTGTCCCCGGTTATTTCTGAAGCATCTGTTAATATCTGTCACAGCACAGAGGAAATGCTGCTTTGAAGGTATCTCAGACCCAACTTTCTTACTGAATAGTTCAATATATGGCTCACTCATCTTCCAGCCACTAGAGGTGCCCAGAAACCTGAATTCTTTCTTTAGATTCTCAGTAGGTTAGAACTCATTATGTAGCCAGAGCTACCTGGAATTCAGTCTTCTTGCCTCAGGCTAGTAAATGGTGGGATTACAGGCTTGAAACACTATACCTGGTCTTGACCCCTCTATCTTCCAAACCTTTATCAAGTAGGTCTCTAAGTCTTGCTCAGTTTCTGTATCTTGGATCCTATTCCTCAAGCCATTACAGTCTCTCACCTGAATGACTGTGGACCCACCTCTTCTGCATACCACTCTGCCTGGGAGACAGACCTTCCAGCCACGCTGTGGCTTTGGCTCAGACCATGGATAATTTGGCTGTTCTGCTATAGGTATGTTTTCTCTTAGTATCCATTAGTGTTCCAGGGTCTGGCATAGACTTTTAAATGTGGGTGCATAGAAATACCTGGGGCATTTACTAAAGCCATATTCCTGGAGATTTTGACTGGATCTGTCATAGGGCTCATCTTCCGTGGCTAATTGAGCTATACCCGGAGGTGACAGCCGTTGGTCTGCTAGCCCTAAACCACCGTCAGCTTCTGCCGTGGGCCTTGTCACTCAGATCACACTCCTCTGAGACTTATCTTGCAGGCTGCTCTCCCTGCCTCCTCTGGTCCCTCTCACTGGTCTTAGTCGTTGGTCTTTTCCTTGTGTTTACTTTCCTCTGATTTATCTTGCTGTTTACCTGTTGTTACTCCACACTGAACTCAGAGGCCATTGGAAGAAAACTTTAATGTGAGACTTGTTTAGCAGTCTGCATAGCACACAGTAGGTTTTTAAGTATTTGTGAAATAATGAAGGGAATTTTCTGCTGTGACTTTCAGTGAGGAACAATCTTCCCTTCTTTGTGCATTCATGGACATCTCCTGTGACCCCATCCAGACATTTTTGCCGTCATTACTAATTTGCAGTAACAACCAAGACTGGTTGGGGCAATCCATTCCGGAATAAAAACAGCTAGTGACTGAACGTCAGGCAAATTCAAGATATTTGACTTCATCTGTAAAACATGGGGTGATATTTACTGCACAGTGGTATTGCTGAAATCCAATAAAATAGCTCTTGAAAGCTGCCTGGCCCATGACCAGTGCTACATTTGAGTTCCTGTCTTTTGGGAGACTCTGACAGGGCTAAATACTCTGCATGCAAAGTCCAGCTCTGCTGTTCATTAGCTGTGTGCCTGTCTCATTTGGAGAATGGACAAATCATAATTGTCCTTAAGGAGCACTATTATCCCTAATGTTATTACTGAAGGTCACTTGATTGTAGCTATACTAAAATTTTGTCTCATGTTCTGAAAACAATCTTGAATAATCTAAAGGTTATCATTTGTATGGAAGTACCGTACCCTTTTAGCCCGTTTTCTACACAGGCACGGTAACCAGAGGGTTGCATTCCTTAGCTCTGCAGGCCAATCTCTCCCCCCGCCCCTAGTGGTGTATACCAAGTGGCTGTCCTCCATAAACATGTAGTTACATTCTGAGCACATGCTTTCCCTGTGTAACGTGAACACTGTCCACCTCCTCTCTGCCTCAGCTAGGTAGTCTTTTCAGGATGTTCAGAGAGGCCACAGCCTTGGCTTGTCCTGCTCCAAAAGGACAAAATGGACTCAGCTTTGTGAAAGTTGAAGAAGAAAATGTTTGGAGGCAGGACTTCAGTCTTCAGGGAAACCTCCAGAGCCAGGAGGTTTTCCGCCAGCAGTTTAGACAGTTTGGCTACTCTGACTTCACTGGGCCTCGGGAGGCTCTGAACCAACTGCAGAAGCTTTGTCAGCAGTGGCTGAGGCCAGAGGAGCGCTCCAAGGAGCAGATCCTGGAGCTGTTGGTGCTGGAGCAGTTTGTGGCCATCCTGCCTGTGGAGCTGCAGGCCTGGGTGCAGGAGCAAAGACCTGGAAACGGAGAGGAGGCTGTTACTCTGCTGGAGGAGCTGGAGAGAGAATTTGATGAACCTAAACAGCAGGTAAGAGGTAAGGGTTTTGTTGTTGTTGTTGGTTTTGATCTATTGTGGTTATTAGAGAAGCCATTATGAGTAGCACTGACTTGGCTCTTGGGAACTTAGCCAGTTTCTGCCTCTCGGTAAATAAATTATTCACCCATTAGTTCAAGTCATGGGGTCTGTAGTGTTGTTTTCCTAGTCATCTGAAGAGTTTTCTGGCTCTTCTGCCTTGTCCATCGCTGTTGGTGATTCTCCTGTATATCATTAGTCACAGTGCTGGTATTTGTTGTTCTAGGACGCAGCTCTTGGCCAAGAAATGACACTCATGGGAACACAGAAACCTCTGAGTAGCCCACTGCAGTCCTTGGAGGACCATTGCAGGAGTGAACCCCAGGAGCCTCAGGTTTTCCACGAGAGAGATGGGGCAACCCTACGATGTAGGGTTGAGGATGAAGGTGAGCACTATCAAATGTGCCAAGACTTCCTTAGTGGCTGCCATCTGTACTGTCGCTAAGTATTGTGGAAATCATGCTGACTGTGAAATAGTCTTCTATTGGCTCAGCCTAGAATCTGAAATTTCAATATAATTTTTAAAACTTGGATTAATAATTAAAGTCTTTCATAAGATTTTCTGATGCCATATTCCAAGACTAATGCTGTTTTCAAAAGTATTTTTGTCACACTTATAAGGAAGTTTCTAAGAAGGGAAAGGGAAAATGTAATGTTAAAAATTGTCAGATGCAAGCCAGATGTTGTGGCATACACCTATAATACCAGTACCAACTTGAAAGGCTGAGAGGTAGGAGGGCTGCGTGACCCAGGCCAGCCTGGACTACACAACGAGATGGTCTCTAGAAGAAAAGTAGCAGAGCATTGGTCACTATGTAGTCTCACTAAAAGTCACACTCTAGAACGTACAGGGCTAAGGTGGGAAGTCCTCAGAAGAACACATATGTGAGAGGTGTGTGTGTGTGTCATCTGCTCCTGCTAGGGCTGACATCTGATCTTGTTAGAGAGGTACAGTCACAGACAGAGGAAGACATGTGCTCTGAAATGCTCAGCAGGCTAGATCCAGCAGAAGCCACCTTTAGGGTACTAAAAGCCTGCCAGGAAATTTGACTTAGTATAAAACTTGCTGGGAAGCTGCCAAGGTGGACAGCTTCTTTGAAATTTATTCTAGTGTTTGTTGTTTGCTGTCCTAAATGCTGTAGGAATAAAGAGAAAGATCTTCCTCGCTGTCCTTCTAACTCCCTCAACTGATAAAACACACATGCTAGCATATGCCAGTATTATGGATAGGACAACGATAGATTTGAAATGAGAAGGCAATAAATGAAAGTATCACAGATGCCAAGGATTAGAGCCGAAAGGACTTTTAAGTTATTGACAACATCTCTGTAGACATCAGCCATCCCAGTGGCTAGTGCCTGTTACATCTGCTTCTGATTTCATTTTCACTAAGCAATCTTGTTACAGTCCCACGAAGCTTAATTATTAAGAGAATGCCTTATTCAGTCAAATCTATGTAAATTACATTATTCTTATTACAGTTATACTATATAGTTACAAGAGGTTGGCTAGTATGAGCCCGCCTTAAGAGGTCAATCTGTTGTATGTTGATAGAATTAGATATAAGAGAACAAAAGCCTGAAGGCCTGACCTTAGACCTTGGCAGTTCACCAGAGTAATCACGTAAGTTATCTACTGAGGTTAATTTAGAAACACCCACTCACCCTTACACATTCAAATGCATTTTAAAAAATGATCTTATCATATTGCCTTACAGAGAACTATCTACTAATAGCTAATAATACCTAATTGTTGTTGTTTGATAAAGATTTTATTTATTTATTTGAGACATGGTTTCTCTGTGTAGCCTTGGCTGTCCTGTAACTCACTCTATAGAACAGGCAGGCCTCAAACTCAGATTCACCTGCCTCTGCCTCGCAAGTGCTGGGATTAAAGATGTGTACCACCATAGCCTGGCATCTATATTAGTTTTTAATCAGTATAATAAGATACCTGAAGCAGTTAACATTATAAAGAAAAATGGTTTATTTGTTCATACATTTGGAGATTTAGGGCTGTGTTACCTTCATTGGCTCATTTCTGGTTAGGGTCCTTTCTGTAACATCATATGGCGTTGGTTATGAGAGTACAGACAAACGTGTGATCACATAAAAGCGACAGTAGAGACACCAACTAAGGTTGGGTTCAGGTTTTTAGAACAGTCCTTGCAAGAACTAACCAGTTCTCAGTTTCCATGGGAAACATCTTAATCCTTTTGGAGAGCGTTACAGTTGATGGGGATATCCTAGTAGGCCTGCCCTCTTAAAGGCTCCATCAGTTGCTACATCACTATACTGGGACCAGACTCCCAACAGAGAAGCCTTAGAGAACAAACCCTAACAATGTCTAAATCTTTTAGGACAGATATATCTACTCCTCCCCCATCTCCCTTTCTATCGCTGTCTTGGTTTTTTGAGAGTCTTGCTTCATAGCCTTGACTGATACTCAACCTGTAGACAAGGCCTGTGCCTCTTCCTCCTGAGTGTTGGAATTAAAAGCTGTATGCCACACTTGGCCCTCTACTTAGTTTTATTAAGGTCTTGACAGATTCTGATTTCCTTTAACGTATCATTGGTTGAAGCTCTAGCTCTTACTTAGTACCTTAGGGTATGACTGTACTTTTTGGACATGAGGTTACTGTGTTCCTTATCCATTATGCCTGCTGTCTTTTTGGGAACAGGGAAAAATTGTTTTTCTGATTTATGCAAACTTTCTCTGGTCCCATCATTTCACTTAATATAATACTTATTTTTATTGTTTTGTTTTCAAGACAGGGTCTCACTAAGTAGCTCTGGCTGTCTTGGAATACACTGTGTCAACCAACCAGAATGGCCTGAAACTCACAGAAATCCACCCGTCTCTGCTTCTTGAATACTAGGACTAAAGGCATGCACCACTATGCCCTACAAGTGCACTATTTTTATGCATTAATTATATACTAGTGCTTTGTTGGGCATTTTATTTATGTTTTTTTGAGATACGGTCTCAGTATATAACCCTGGCTGGCCTGGAACTCAGTATGTAAATGAGGCTGGCCTCAAACTTAAAGATCTATTTGTCTTTGTCTCCTAAGTACTGGGATTTAAGGTGTGTGCCACCACCTAGCCTTTTTCCATTAAGATAAGCACCACTTTGAATAAGTGTCACTATAACTTTATTTCTTCCTAAATGCTTTGTCTTTTTCTATTGCTTATATTGATTTGCCCTATTAGGAACCTGCCAGAATTTGCAAATGCTATCTTGCCTTCTATTCCCTGCCCACCTCCCTGTGTCCAATACTTATCTATCCCCCAAACATTTTATAGTATCACATGCTCTCCTACTTTGTTAGATATACGACTGATCTACAACTCTTAAGTCATCTTATTCCTGATTCTGTATAACCTCTTTTCCTTTTTCATGTTATCTAACCTAGAATCATCTCTTCCCTTTCTGGTTTATGACTGGTATTATTGTTTGTGACCTCTAAGTATTGTTTTCTTGTTCAATTGTCAATGTCTCCAATATTTACTTATATTCTTTGTCCATTTTACTCTCGAGTTCTGTTTAGGGGAATTCTCATTTTCCCACCTGTATCCCTTTCCCCAGTCCTGGAGATTAAACCCAGGGCCTTGTGTTTGCAAGCACTCTAAAGTCACTGGGCTGTATGTCCAGCCCTGGTATTTTTTTTAAACGTATGAATGTTTGCCTGCATGTTTGCATATGCACTACCTGCATGCCTGGTCCCCACAGAGGCCAGAAGAGGGTGTTGTATCTCCTGGAACTGGAGTTAGAGATGGTTATGAGCCACCAGGTGGGTGCTGGGAACTGAACTAGGGTCCTCTACAAGAGTATGCCCTCTTAAATCACCAAACCAGCCAGGTTTTTGTGAGTTCAAGGCCAGCCTGGTCTACAGAGTTAGTTCTAGGACAGCAAGGACTGTTACACAGAGAAGTCCTGTCTTGAAGAAAAAAAAAAGCACCACGCCATCTCTTGAGAACCAGCACTTATCCTTTTCCTTTGTTTTATTTATTGTTCCTCCTATAGCGTTTTTAACATAAAAGAATGACACACCCTATTCACATTTTTAGATAGCAAGATGGTGACTGACAAAGTACTAACAGCAAAGCAAGAAATTATTGAATGTGTTACATCAGTGGCCATGGCATCTCCAGGAAGACTTCCTAGGGAATCTTCTCCAGTACAGATAGTTGAAGAAACTATGGGATATCTGGACATCAATAAGCAAAGAGGAAGTGATGATGCAAGCAACAAAACAAGTCCACTTTCTTCCCAGGAAAGCTATTTCAGTCTGGCAAGCTTTAACAAGAAACCCCCCACAGAACAGAATACCTTCAAGTGTAATGAAGGTGAAGGAATTCTCAGTCTAAACCTACACAGTACTGCACAGTCCAGAACTCACACAGGGAAACTGCTCTATGAGTGTTTGGATTGTGGGAAAGCTTTTTGCCATAGGTCAAAGCTGGTTAGACATCAAAGAAGTCATACTGGAGAGAGACCTTATGCATGTAAAGAATGTGGAAAAGCCTTTGGTTTCAGAACAGATCTTGTTAGGCATCAGAGAATTCACAGTGGTGAAAAACCCTATGAATGTTGTGACTGTGGGAAAGCTTTCAGGGGCAGCTCAGGGCTCATTAGGCACAGGAGAATTCATACTGGAGAGAAACCTTACGGTTGTGAAGAGTGTGGGAAAGCCTTCAGCCAGAGCTCCACTCTTATTCAGCATAAGAAGATTCACAGTGGAGACAAAGGCTATGCGTGTACTGAATGTGGTAAGGCTTTTAGGAGAAGTTCTGTTCTTAGGGAACACGAAAGAATCCATACTGGTGAGAAACCTTATGAATGTAATGAATGTGAAAAATCCTTTAATCAAAGCTCAGCCCTCACCCAGCACCAGAGAACCCACTCTGGGGAAAAACCTTATGAATGCTATGAATGTTGGAAAATATTTAGGTATAGGTCAGGCCTTATGCAGCATCAGAGAGCACACACCAGAGTTCAGCTCTGTGGGTAAGAGTTATGTAATTGTGAAATGCAAGGAATTCACTTTGAAGGGGGAGATTCCACAAAAATTAGAAGTTTCCAGACAGCAAGACTTTTTCTTTCCAGCCTAGTTCAGTTCTCTTAAGAGACCCACACAAACAGCTTACATATTGGAAGAGTTTTATCTAGATCTTGTTTATAGAGTCTGGTAAAAAGACGGACCCACTCTGAATGAGGACTCTCACCAATATGTTCTTCATCCATTCCCCACCACAGATAGAACTGTCATTGAGCACCTCCATGACCTCCATGACCGTGGATCCTGCACGATCTCCTTACAAATGCAAAGATCACTGCCCAGCCGAAGTGTTTTTGTCTGGCAGGAGTGCATTTTTTAAGTTACTGAAGTCTGAAATGTTGAATTGAGGCTATGAAATGTCATGTCCTGGGTCAGTTTAATATCTGAGGAATGGAAGCTGTCTGCCCCATTGCCAGTTCTTTCAACCCTGAGCTTCCTGATGTAGTCTACTTCCTTATTGGTACCTCCTGGGCCTAACCATTGGGAGAACAGACTTGATCACTGCCCCCTCAAAATTTAGGGCTAATCGAATATACAAATTTATTAACCAAGTAATTCTGGTAAGAGTGTGTCAATAACTGCCAGATAATTGTAGGGCTCTGTTGGAAGATATTCAGAGATGCTTTACCTGATTTATGAATTAACTAAATATATCCTTGGGTGTGATATCTCATTTGAGACTTAAAATACAGAAGTTAGCCAGGCTAATGGCAGAAGAACAGAGGCAGAGTTTGTATAATATATACATGGAATGATGAGAAGAGAGGATCTGGAGACATTCCTGTTTCTTCATTTCCTGCTGGAATTTTCTGATTCCAGTTCAGAAGCCAGGTTGGTTCCTTTTGCTGTTTGTAATAGCCTGAGTTGGATCACGAGACTTTTATGATCTGGAAGTACTCAGTTAGCGTGGGAACTAGTGTTTCTAATGTATACCAAGGAAACAGCATACACTGGAAGCTGAGGGACACTGGGGTCTGGAGTCTGTTTCAGCATTAGGCTTGCAGATGATAAGCCACTTGAGGGAAATACATATTGAATCAATCTCTCAGACTCTTCAAAACTTTAATTTGGCAGTTTTAATTAACCCATGATTGCTGATGGTAATTTTTACTTAGGAAAATGCACCATTTTTGAAGACTTGGTAATAGCTATTGTGAGTAGAGGAGATAAAAATGGAAATGGTTCTCACTTCCAAAGGATGTGCAGTTAAGTAAGATCTGACTTAAAGAGATAATTCAAATGGACCGTGAATTGCCTTTCTTATAGATGACAAGTGTTTTAAGTATCATTTGACCCTTTTTCTAATTGCGAGCATTGAGAAGTATAACTCATCCATAATTGTGTTACCCATAGCAAGATTAACTTTTGAACTACTTCCTGTTTTTCTGTAATTCTATGTATTTCTGGTAAAAATCTCTAGTATAATTTTCTAATTTTAATATTTTTATGTTCAATATGCACTCCAGTTGCTTAGTATCAGCATGCAATGGAATGTATTGTAATAAAACTGAAATTTTAAAATTTTGCTTTTAAATCATTCAGGTAAAAACACAGTATGAGTGGAGTTAGGCTGGAGGGTAGGAAGGAGTAGAAAAAAGGGAAGTAGCACACTTAATTTCTAGTTCCTGAATTAAATGAAACAGCATGAAGCTGTGATAGCCAGACTTTTGAGTTGCTGGAGTACTGGAGTGGAAAATCAAGACCCTTTTAAATTCATACATATACTAAATCCACCAGGATAGCCTCCCTCAGCAGTGCTAAGTGCTGAGAAAGACCTTTGGTCTGACATCAAATTATGTGCATGTGAATGCAAATGCCTACAGAGGCCAGAAACGGGCACTGGATCCCTTTGGAGTGGAGTTACAGGAGGTAAACCACCCGGTGTGGGTGCTGGGCATGGAACTCTGGTCCCCTACAAAACAGTTCCTGCTCTATGCCATCTCTCTAGTCCCATGTTTTGGGTAATTTTGAGACGGTTTCATATGAAGCTTATGGCCGAGATGTGACTTCCTCTTCAGTGGTTTGCAAACAGAAGTAGGTTATTAGGTCACTGTCAAATGACTTGGAAACTCAGTCCTCTCAGATCTAGTTGCAGGCTGTGGCATGAGGGAGGAAGGTAAGTTCCATGTGAGGCAAGCACTGCTTTACAGGCTGCTCCTGGAGCAAGAGGAAGAGCAGAGAGAAGGGCACTGGCTGTTTTCCTTTCAGCTGCTGTTGGCGTCCACTCCGTTTCATGAAGGCTGACATTGACTGTAAGATCATCTTCAGCCTCGCTAACATGAGAATACAGATGAGCTAACTTGTTTATGTCTGCTGAACTCATGAGAAAGCCCTAATGACAGGAGTTCTGAAATACCACCTGCTTCTCTGAGCCATAAATCATCATGCATGAAAGTTAACTTGCACAGGAATTTAGAATTTGAAGGGGTTCTTTCAATATTATGAAAGTATGTCTGCATTGATTTCGTCAACAATGAAAGATCAGAGTTAAGTTAGTTAAAACTTGAGACAGGGATGTCTTAGAAGGCAAGTACTTATTTTCACTATTTTGGGCTTTTGTTCACTACCCGCTCTGCCTAGGGCTACGGATCTAGGGATTAAGCCTGGGGCCTTAAATATGGTAAATTTATGCTTTACAACTGAACAATATAGTTCTCTTGCCCCTCCCTCTATAGGCAGTGCTAGATTTTGCAGTAAAACTTTAAATACAAAAATAGCACATTACCTGTAACTTCACCACCCAGAAGTAACCATCTTGACATTGTATGTCTGTTATTTTTAATGCATAAGTTTTACATGGGTTCATGTTGTATATAGTGTATTTAATATCTCATGAATGTTTCACATGTTTTAACAGCTTGTAAGACTGCATATCCATGGTTCCTTAAGTATATTTCTGGGTAGAGTGTCAAGGTCCAATGCAGTGTTGAAGGGTTTTGGTACTGATTGCCAGAGGTAATGTATTCACAGTTCATTAGCAGCAAGAGTCCTAATGTTCAAATCCTTGTTAATTTTATATGGAAAATAAATACCACCTTCACTCCTATTTCAACGTGACTGTAACTTCCATGACTGGACATATGTGTATTGTTCACTAGCACATCTGTGATTTTAATGTTAGTGGGATTTTTTCATGGATCGTATAAAGTACATATAAAATTGTAGTTCTGAGTTAAAACTCTGGACCTTTTAGCTATGATAACCTCCATTTCCCATGTGTACAATATGATTTGTACTAATGACTAACATACGCAAAACCCTTGACAAATACCCGTTATATTTCCTTCTGATCCTATGTAAGAGATCTAGAATATCTCCTTTTTTTTTAACATTATCTACTGAACATCTACATTAGGCATTTAGTTTGTTATTTTTATTGGTTAGTACATACTCACCTATAAATGTCCAAGACACCATTACTTTTGTATCCTTGTAAAAATTATTTTTCTGTTTCTACATAGATTTGATTTTGTTAAGGTATATTATTCCTCCAAACTCTTAGGTCTTTGAATTGACTGTTTCTACCCAGTGTTTTTGAGATGGTCCCATCATGCAGCTCAAACTGACCAGGTATGCCTTTTGTCTCACTGTTGAGAGACTGCAGGGATGACAAGGCTTTTTGAGTTGATCAGCTCTCCACGTTGCACCGTGCACCAGCATTAGGATACTCTTCCTGTGGGGCTCCTCAGAAGAGGGCAAGGCCCAACAAAATCAGCGTCTTCACTGCTCTAGCATTGCCTTTAAAATGTTCAGGATACTGCTAAATATTGCTGACATAAGACAAAATATGTGCAGGGTAATTGGAGAAAAAGCCAAAGACCCAGAAATGGAGAATTTTTGAGCACCTGCACAAGGCAGATTGTGCTCAGGTGGAGAAATGGCAGCATTACAAACAGTTGCTATGGCATCTTTTAATACAGCAACTCCAAAGAGTCTGCATCTAGGCTGTTCTTATATAATGGACTCCTCCCACTCTCTGTAGTTTAAACATTGTCTCAGGTTGTGCTGGGAAACTGATTAGCCCTTACCATTAGGCCACACTGACCAAGGACTCTAGGTTTTTACGAGTTTATTAATAGAAACTTCATAGGCTCATATGCAGTGCTGAGAGTCTGGCTGTAATCCTGTCTCACAGGATGCCAATTTTGAACTCAATAGGTAATGTTCCATATTTTGTTCCTGGTGATAAACAAAACAATCTCTTTCATTGTAACCTGGCCTGTCTTCCTTCCTAGTTAGCTCATTTTCCATGTCATTTCAATATCCTTTATCCAGAGTTCTTCACAAGAGGGAAATGGGGAAAGTGCAGGGCAGTGGTGGCATACGCCTTTACTCCTAGCACTTGGTGTGCAGTGGCAGTGGCAGGCAGACTTCTGAGTTCAAGGCCAGTCAGCATGGTCTACAGAGTTCCAGGACAGCCAAGGCTACACAGATAAACCCAAACTCCACCCCCAAACGCTGTAATAGTGACCATACTAAAGTGTCATTACCTGACTAGTAATGGCCATTAGACTGTAGAAATATCTTTCATTTTATTTCTAGTCACTGGCACAAAGCCGGTATAAAAAAATAACAGAACTGACCACTTGCCTAGCATGTGAGGCCCTAAGTTCAATACCCAGTACACAGGTGGGGAATGGACAGGGCGCTCAGGTTGTCTAAACTAATTTGTATCTTTTTCTTCCCAAGCTCAGTTTATTTTGAGCCTGGCTTGGGATCAACAAATCATCAGTGAAATTGTTTGCTCACTTTTCTTGTTGACTGGCTGCTGTTGAGTAAAAAACTTTTGAATTTCTTAAGCAGTCTCTCATGTCATTCATATTATCTGGTACAGACAATCAGATGTACTGACAGACAGGATGAAGCCTTTTCCCATGACGTTCTCATGGAAAATGAGGTCTCAATATTACATTTTTTTTTTTTTTTTCCTGAGTATTCCTAATGTTAAGAGCAAAGCTCAAAGGAATGGTCCTTTATCTTGCTCTGGTCAATCACAGGAAGTTTTGAAGAAAATTCGCAGTGGCATCAGGAAGTGCTACACATAGCAAGTTAGACTGACTAAAGACCGTTTGTTTTTTTAAAACTACCTTTGTGGAATCCTGCTCCAAAGTCAACGTTCTGGCTAATATAGAGAAAAATAAACTATTTATGAATCATTGTATTAAGTTACTTAACAGTGTGTACTCTCTGATGGCGCATCAACACTGATCTGTGCCTAAAAGCCTTCCCACATTCATTACATATATAAGCTTCATCCCCAGAATGGATTCTCTGGTGCTGAACAAGGGCTGAGCTCCTTTTGAAGGTCTTGCCACAGTCATTACACCGATAGGGTTCCTCTCCACTGTGAATTCTCTGGTGTCTGATGAGGTTTGAGTTCAGACTGAAGGCTTTTCCACACTCCCTACATTCATAGGGTTTCTCTCCGCTGTGTATCCTCTGATGGGTGATCAGCTCTGAGCTCTGCTTGAAAGCTTTTCCACATTCACTGCACTCGTAGGGTCTCTCTCCTGTATGAATTCGCTGGTGTCTAATAAGCTTTGAGCTCTGACTGAAGGTTTTCCCACACTCGTTACACTCATAGGGCTTCTCTCCAGTGTGAATTCTCTGATGTATGATTAGGTAAGAGCTTTGACTGAACGCTTTGCCACACTCGTTACATTTACAAGCTTTCTCACCTGTATGAATTTTCCGATGTCTAGTGAGGGCCGAGCTCTGATTGAAGGCTTTTCCACATTCATTACATTCGTACGCTTTTTCACCACTATGGATTTTCTGATGAATAATGAGATATGACCTCAAACTAAAGGCCTTCCCACACTGGCTGCATTTATAGGGCTTTTCTCCAGTATGGATCCTCTGATGCTGTGTCAGAGAGAAATGCTGTTTAAAGCTGTGCCCACATATATCACATCTGTAAGGTCTCTCTTCTGGAGAAACTTTCTGACATGTTACAGAGTTGGTACTTAGAATTAAGCATCTTTGAGATTCATCATGATGATCTCTCTTTGCTAAGGATTTGTGTGTGAAGATCACTTGACTAAAACTACCCCTGTGGAGAGGGGAACTTCTCTGCTGCCACTCTAAATTGCTTTTGTGCTCACTAACACCTCTAAATGAAGGATCCCAAGAGAGTCCCGGTGATTTTTCTTCTGAAATGTCCTCTTTTGCTGTTGTTTCATTATTCTTAGAATCTGACATGGTAAAAACAAAACAAAATAAAATTAGTAAAACTCCAGAATTTACATTGATTCTTCAAAACTCTCAAGTCTTTCTGTGTACCACAGGTTAGCCTGATACTTCTTGTTCAAAGGATTCTTCCTACCCAACTTTCCAAGTCGTTGGGATTATATGTCATCTCCATATGGCTAACTTAAGATACTTTTTATGTAAGGGAAAATAGACCCTTCTAGAGTCCATTTAGAAAGATGTCACTGTCCCCTAGGATCTTTTCTCTTTTCCAGTGCTGAAGTCTACATCTATCTTCCTTTACCTTTCACCTTTCCTTTCTTTTAAGACATCAACTGGACAATTGCTCATTACTTTTCTACTATTTTCAGTCTCTTTCTAAATTGACTTCCTGTAATGATTAGTTTTTAATTATCAACCCACCACAATCTAGGGTCACCAGGGAAGAATGTCTCAGTGAGGCTGTCTGGATCAGGTTGGCTTGTGGGCGTGTCTGGGAGAGGGAAACTGTCTTCTGTTAATTGATGTGAAAAGGCCCAGCACACTGTGGACTATATCATTTCTGGATGTGGGTCCCGGACTGTGTAAGAGTAGAGAAAGAGTATAGTAGCAGGCATGCATGTTTTCATCCTCCTTTGCTCTTTACTGTGGATGTAACTTGCTGCTTCATGTTCTTGCTGTTTTACTGTCCTTCAACAATGAAATGTAATCTGTCATCATGAGGTAAAACAAACCATTTTCCCTTTAAGTTGCTTTAGCCAGGATATCTTACCATAAAACCCAAAAGAAACCTAAGACAATCCCACTTACCAGCTTACGTGCAGGTCACTCCCGCCCTCCTTAAAAACCAAGCCTATGTATCTGCTGAGCAGCCTCACATTTACAGTGAAATTTCTTGAAACGGTTTGTCTAGAATCATCCCATTCTGCAGTCTGGTTTCTAGTCTGCCTTTCTCTTCAACTCTACTGCTCCTTGGCAGTACTCTTGTCAAGGTCACTGCTTTTATAACTGTATAAATTGAAGGGGTACTTTTGGATCTTAGTCTTTTTGTAGCACGATACTGAGAGACATACCTCTCATTGTTCTGTTTCCTCTTGAGATAGGGTTTCTTTCACTGTCCAGAGCAGGCTGGCCTCAAACCAAGGGCAAGCCTACAGCCATCTAAAGGCTGGAGTTAGAAATGAGAGTGCCCTCCTTCTCTCCCTGTTGTTTTAGATTTTAGGGCTAGTCACTTAAAAACTACACTCCTTCAGAGTCTACACTGGGTTTTCTGTATCTTCACTGTTGAACTTTACCCTAGATTTCAATTAGTACTTGCACTTAAGTTCATGTCTTCTCAGATCTTCAAGTCTACCTGGAGACTGTCATATTGAAGTTTTGCTTATATTTATACCCAAATACACCATATCAAATACATCAGTTTTTTTTTTAAGAAACAGTACCATTATTAACCAAGTCCTTCAAGACTGAAACTTTATCACATTCAGATTATTCTCATTCACGATCTGCTTTTAATGATGCTCATCTACTGTAATGCACTTTCAATGCTGAGGAATAAGATTCAGCTTTAATCTTCTCTGTGCCTCAGAGTAGCACAGGTTTCCTCATTCATAGCCTCTTGGATGCCAAGTGTCTAATAAGTTTCTAGTCTTGCTTTTCTCAAATCATTTCTATCCTCTGCGGCTGAGTTCTGAACTACACTTCCTTATCCACTACCCTTCAGCTGCACCCCTTTACACATAGGATCTGGACCAGTGTGACATAAAGGCTGTAACAACTGTGCCTCGTTTTCTCCTTCAGATTTTCTTTCATTATACCTTCCTTTATCAATTCTCCAGTCAAATTAAAGTACTTATAATTTCCATAACGGTTTGTATTCTCACTTTAATGGCTTTAATTACCTCTTTACCTGGTTTTCTTTACTCTAGTTCAAATTACAGCTTAGATGTTTCTTCCTCCAGAAAGTATTCCTTGAATATTTAATTTTTAAAAAGATTTATTTTATTATTTTATGTATATGGGTGTTTTGCTGGTATGTATGTTATGTACCAAGTACACATATGGTGCCAGAGGGGTCAGTAAAGGGTATCGGATCTGGAGTTATAGACAGTTGTAAGCTGCCATGAACCCTGCAAGAGCAGCCAACTCTCCAGCCCTCCCTGACTCTCACATTAGGTCTGGAGCCACTTTAAGTGCTGCCACAGTACCCACACAGTGCCTACGTGCATTCCATAATTTACTGCACTAGGCTGCATCTGCTTTTCTCTGTGGGAACCACACACGAAGGCCTCAAAGTTACTTGAATAGAAACTTACCGACTACAGTATTAGACATTTTTAGCAGTCTTCAAAGTTACAAAACAATGAAGTGAATCAATGTCAGGGTCATACAAGGAAGATGACTGCAATTCATGAAGGTCACAGCTGCTAAAGTGAGCACCTCTGGTTTTGATTAATATAAGTGATACTCACATGCAACAAGTTTATAAATGCAAGCCTGCATTTTCAAAACCAGAGGCTCAACTTACATCAATCTAAGGATTTTCTATTCTTACCACTTTTAGAGGAAGGGCAAGGTTTCCAGGATTTTAGCTGTGTCTTCAGAGGCCGGACTTGGATGCTTGTTGAATCCTGGGATTCTCTGAGATATGTCAAATCTTTCCATGACACTGATGGTCCTTGTGGACTATCTGGGACCTGAAACCAGTAAAATATGATTAGTAAAAACAGGTTAATGAGGTCCCTGTCACAATGAAGGATGGGTGGTAGAGATAGGTATGTGCTATTGTTATATTAAGGTTGTGGTTCCTGAGAGATATTTTAACCAGATAAGATACTACATAATCAAGGTGGTATCCTCCCACCCCCCCAACAAAACATTGTATCTCTGTTCCCACCTGCTGCCCTGGATCATCAAACTCTTTCTCCAGATCCTCCAGCAGACTCACAGCTTCCTCACCACTTCCTGGGCCATGCTGTTGGACCCATGCCCTCAGCTCCTCAGGTAAGATGCTCAGGAACTGCTCCAGCACTAGCAGCTCAAGGATCTGCTCCTTTGTGTGCAGCTCTGGCATCAGCCACTGATGGCAAAGTTCCTGGAGTCGGCACAGCGCCTCTCGGGGCCCGGGTGTTTCATGATAGCAAAATTTTCTGAACTGCTGGCGAAACAATTCTTGGCAAGATTGGGTGCTTCCATTCTGTTTACAGTTCTGACTCCAAGAAAAGCTATCTTCTATTTTTACTAGTATTAATTCTTCTTCTTGATGATCCTGAGGTTTTAAAGTTGAAATTGCTCTGGATTCCATAGCCAGTCTGGGCTGAAATAGCTTACAGAAACCTTAGTATAACTGAGCTTTGTGCTTGGGGGAGGATCCTACAAGATATGAAAACACTATTAACTTATAGCATAGAAAGAAAAATCTCTAAAAACTTGTACTATTGAAAGGTAACAGGCTTAAACTAAATAACTTGACAAAGAATTAAGATCAAAGCGCTACTGTGTAGAACTCATAATTACAGAAAAAATGCTTAGAAGTGTAAGAATGCAATATTAATATGAATTACATTGTGAGATTAATTCCTTTTCAGTCATCTTTCTGATTAAATTCTTTACTCCATATATAAAGCAGAACTTTTTTCAGTGCTGAGAACGAACTCACAGTCTTATGAATGGCAGGCAAACACTTTGCTACTAAGCCACATCCTTGTCCCCCTTCGACAGTGCTGGGACTTGAACTCGGGCCCTTTGTCATTCGAGACAGCATTTTATCACAGGGCTACATCCCCAGCCACAGAAAATTTTAATAAAATACAGGCTTCAGGTTCAGAAACCTAAGAATAATAATACTTTGGCAAAATTTTTTCCCCTTTTTTTGAGACAGGGTCTATGTAGTCTTGGAACCTGCTATGTACATTGGGGTGGTCTTGAACTTACAGATCCTCCTGCCTCTGCAGTGCTACGATTAAAGGCATATAACATTATGCCCAGCGTTTGGCAGAATAGAATGCTAGCCTAATTTTCTTTTTAGTTATTGTTTTTTTATAGCACGTAGTGTTAGTCTACATTTAAGGTAGTAACACTTAAATAATTTGCACTAAACGTGAGTTAGTTTAAATAAAATATTGCTGTATACTCGCAGTTTGGTCCCACTACTAGTATACTGAAGTTTACTAGTTACACACTTACTGTGTGTGGGCTTTGTTTTGAACTAGTATTATGGAAAGGTTTGGCTTATGAATGAATTTAGTGAGGAATTCAGTAACTGTAAAATACTTGGCTTGGATTTAAAAAAAAACATGTTATTATGGATGCAAAAAGTCAATTTAGGTTCTCAAAAGCTGAGTATTCTAAATCCAATCGAAATATGGTAGTAATCACGTCCTAGATGTGGGGATATGGAACGAACATGACATGATGTTTGGAGCGGGAATATGCAGAGATCTGTACGTCCTTTAATTGTTAAAACCCGGCCCTGAGCCCCCTCCCCACCGGGACGGAGGCGGCGAGCGCACCGTCCCGTGTCCCAGCTTACACATCAACCCAGCCCCGTGCCCACCAGAGAACCCGACCCCTGACAAGGAGCCCAGGTCACACCACTGCCGTCCCCGACGGGTAACGGAGCACGGGCCACCCATTAACTCAGCCTGAAACTCTCCTGGCCCTTCACTGTCTGCCGCGCCCTTCACGCCCGGACGCCCGGGGCTCTCTCACGGCACCTCGGTTCCGTGGGCAGAGACCCCAGGCGCCGAAGACAGCGCCGCTCGCCGTCCAGGCTAAGCAACACCCGCCACAAACCTGGCTTCCTCGGCAGCCCGCCGCTCTCACCCTGCTACTCGCTTCCGGGTTACAGCACAGAGTCAGCGCAGGCCTTAGGGGCACCACCGGGCTGTCCCGCGGAAAGCGGCGGTCGAGGGCCTCGACGGGACGGGCCACCGCCTCTGCTCAGACCCGGCGCCCGTGCGGGAGCAGCCACGGCGGCGCACAGCAGCCACAAAGACCCGCGGCGCGTCCCCGCCCCTTCCGTTCGAGCGCGGCTGCTCCGTCTGTCCCGCCCCTTCCGCTCGCGCGCAGGCCCCTCCCACATGGGGTCTTTCTCCCACCTCAACCCGCCAGCTCCATTATCCCGTCAGTCCCTTCTCTTTCTCCCGGTTTCCCAGTTCCCTATTCATGTTTTCCTGCCATGACAGCGGTTTTTCGTGACAAGAGTGAACTTATGAGTGAATGCACCAGCAGTAGCAGTCGACGCCTCGTCCCCTGTGCAGCCCTAGTCACTGCACAAAGCCAAGCTGCGGTGTCTTGGGCGCTCCTGTCTGCTTCAAACAGACTCGGGTTCAAAGTCGGGGTTTCCTCTTTTTTTTTTTTAAATGTTTATTGTTTATGTTTATAAATTTTTTCCTGCACGTTTATTTGTACCATGCATTGCGGGCAGAGGCCAGAGGAGGGCGTTGAGGCCCCTGGGACTGGAGTGGTGGTGGTTGTGCATTGGTTCTCTGTAAAAGCAGCAAGTGTTCCTCACCTCTGAGCCATTTTTTCCAGGCCTCTCTGTCCTCATTTTAAAATATTTATCTTTGTTATTTTTATGTATGTGCATGTGTGTCTTTGTTTATATGGCTTGTGTGTGCAGTGCCCACGGAGGTCAGAGAGGGCGTTGGGTCCCTTGGAACTGGAGTTTCAGTTGATGTGAGCCTCCATGTGGGTTCTGGGAATAGATTGTGGTTCTCTGGAAGACTGCAAATGGTCTTAACTGCTCAGCCGTTTCTCCAGTCCCAGCTTGTCTCTTGAAAACTTAGGGCACTTTACTTCGTGAAATATCTTGTATGTGTTAAGGACATCAGTTATTTTTCACAAATAGTTTTCCATTTATTTGTAATTATTTTTGAAAATGTTAAAAGGGTAACAAGGTGATAACATAGAAACAAGTAAATTCTTTTTTGTTAGCTAACACTTAAATCAGATAATTGGAAACAATGTCCATTAGGTTCTACGTAGAACTATTAATAACTCAACCTATAATCATAGGCATTGTGAAATAATAGCAATTTAGAAATAGCAAATGGATAAGTGTGAACAAAACTTCCCAGACAGAAGCTGTACCTTGAATTAACCTTTGCAAGGCTGATTAACTGAACATAAATAACTTCAGTGATTTGGAGAGGTTGGGATGTTGCAGGTCCAGAGCCAGATGATCGTGGGCCATCTTTAGCCTCCTCAGTAGCCATTTATTACTCTTCTGTGGGACCTAGTAGTTTTGTGACCAGTAGATAAGCATTTGGAATGTACTCATTTTCTGTTGAAATACATTAATTTAGCTAAGTGTTGTCAGATTGCCGGATCCACGGGGGTTGTACAAAGATGGGGGACAGACCACCAAAGTCTATTAAACCAGAAGCAAACTTTATCCAGGAAAAAAAATTAAAAAGTTAAAAAAAAATTCTCCATGGGGCCCAAAAAGCTTATCAGCTAGCTGTGACCACGGCCAGAGATGGGCTTGTAAGGCTGTGGCCATGGGCTGTTTCCGAACTCTCCTGTTTATAGCAAGAAGCAAGCATTAGGCATGAACAAAAGAATTTTTATAAACTTGAGGTAAAACTCAGATACAAATTGCCTTTTTTTCCCATTTCCATTAACAGGGTTTTTCAGTTAAACTAGTGTTTGTATTTAGCCCGTTGCTTCTCTCTGGCACTTTCTGCTGGTGTTTCCCACAGCTCTGCACTCCCCTGACACTGCCGGTTTTGTGTAGCAGGGAAGGGGATAGGAAGAAACACAACCAAAAAGTCAGGTACATCCCATCATTTAAAAGTTAACTCAGCTCACATCAGTTGTTGGTCATGAGTGGCCGGGGGGTTATCTAAAAGTTGACCCTCAGTTAGCAGAAGATCTCTCAGTTTGCAGAGCTATGGGTTGTACAGCAGAGTAGCCCACTGTTAATAGTTAATCTTTAAGCTGCTGAGAAAGCTGCTGACAGCCTGCTTTCATTCTCCTAGGCTTACAACTTTATATTTCTTTGTTCCTACATTCTTATTTCTGGAATCTACATTTCTGTATTCTTGTATTTGGACTCTTTAGGATAGCATCGAAGCCTATAGCTGAGCTTTCTCCTCTGGCCTATAACCTGATTCTGATATCTCCACCAATGTATTTAAAGTGTGTCTTGGTGTTCAATACTTTCTTTTTTGTTACTATAAAAAACCTCATGAAACTGCTTCCACATTGGAACATTTAATTTGGGGTGGCCTAAACCTGCGTTCCCTGACCATGACCACTCATAATTGGCTTCCAAATAAACAATCTCTTATCCCCTTTGTGGTTTTCTGTCAGAATTATATTGCTTGGTGTTTGTTGTCTATTATAGGATAACATACCACTTTAAAGGTGTAGATATTGCAGCAAATGTCTTGTTGCTCACAGTTCCATGGCAAGGAATGCAAGCAGTGTTTAGCAGAGATTGCTGGGCCTTGCTTTGAGATGTCAGTTCTGGTGCTTGAATGAGGATTGGAAGGCCTAAGTGGCTTCACTTACACTCCTGGGCTTGGCGCTACCTTTCTGCTAGGCTACCTTTCCGCTAGAGCAACCTGCTCTTCTCCACTCAAGAATGTCACCTTGTATTTAGTCTCATCCATCATTAGGATGGTCAGCCGGAACATTCTTACATGGTGTCGGGTTTCCACAAGAGTGAAAGCGAAAGGAAAACCTAGACCTGGAACTATTACCCACAGAATGGCTATCTCAGTTTCTTTAATGAACCCATCATCTGTAATTAAAATGTTTCATTTTGATATTAAAAGACCTTTTATCCAAAGCCATTATTTTTCAGACTAAATCTGACAGGAATGTAATAAAAAGCCTTAGCCTTATGAAGGCTGCTAACATATAATAGACTGTTAAGAAGTACAAGTTCAGAGTCATCTTAGAAATGATCAAGCTCTTTGGTTATAGTCATGCTAAATACTGATGTGGTCAATTGCAGGGAGAAGCCTTACCTGGTCCCCTGTGTGCTAAGGCAAATAATTGGTGTCAAAGGTCTCTGCTCAGATATACCTAATGGACAGATAGCTCTCAGATGCTCAGAGATCTGCAGACAATGGCATTTAGGATGTTTTACTAAAAAGCTTTTTGTAATAGAGAGACATGCCAGCTCCAGACAGTTCCCCTATTTCATCCAAAGAAAACAGATCGGGACAGAAGAATCGCTACCCAAAACTGGCCTCAAAAATGGCAGCACTAGCCACTGAGCAAACCTGCCTTTTACTCAACTGCTGCAAAGGCCCTGGTGGAGAAAAGAGGAGAAAAGAGGACCCTGGAAGATGGACTGCCTCGAGTTGCGTAAGGCAAAAGGTAGGCTGGTCCTCCTTGGAGCCCTTACTCCACAGAAGCCTGTGGGATCTTCTGACACCTTGCAAGCCTACCTCTGCCAGCCAGAAGATGGATGTTGCCCTAGGACCTGCCCTCATCAACCATGGAGGACCCGGGGGTAGCTGTCTGGGAAGCCAGCAAGTAAGTCTCTGCTATTTTTTTTAAAATCAATAACTCAGGTAAAATTTCTTCTTCTCAGAACTCTGGAGCTGTTAGACGACTGGTAGCTTTGCCAGCTTAAAAGCAGCAACGAAGGCTTCAGCTGCTTTCTAAGTTCCCTGTAAAATTCTGGTCACAGGTCTCACTCTCTTAGAACCAAAACTAAGCCTAGATACAGTTCACCTTGCTGCCAAACTTGAGAGAGAGAGAGAGAGAGAGAGAGAGAGAGAGAGAGAGAGAGAGAGAGAGAGACTCACAAAACAGATTTCAGTATGACTTCTTACCATTCCTTCATTTAAAGAAACTTTGCAGTGACTGCTCTAGGTGGTCAGTCATCTGTCCCTACTGGCAAATTAAATAAAAGATGTTTTAAGACGCAAAGCTTAAGATGTGAGGATCTAAGAATGTTTGAGGGTCTAAGAAAGGGTTTTAAGGTGTGCAAATGCAAGTTAAGATATGTAAATGCAGGTTATGAAAGTCTGAGGATAAGAATGTTCAGGGCACAAGAAAGTAACTTAAGGTATATAAATGCACATTATAAAGGTCTGAGGATGAAAAGGCTTAAGTGCTGATAAGGAAAAAATGATTTTTTTTTGTTTTTTTGAGACAGGGTTTCTCTGTGGCTTTGGAGCCTGTCCTGGCACTAGCTCTGTAGACCAGGCTGGTCTCGAACTCACAGAGATCCGCCCGCCTCTGCCTCCCGAGTGCTGGGATTAAAGGCGTGCGCCACCATCGCCAGGCTGGAAAAAATGATTTGAGGTGTTTTTAAAAAATAAAACGTGTTCCAGATTTATCTCTCATTGTGATACTGTTATATTAAGACTCCAAAATTTCATAGTCTTAACAGTAATTGGCAAAATTCTGATAAGCCGTTAATCGAGCTCTGGCAGAGAACCACCTCTATCACCATAGCTGCAAGCTCAAGATTTCAAATTCCCTTTGATTGTTTCCTAACCATAGACCTCAAAGATGCTTTTCATTTTCAGAAAATCTCTGTCACAGTTCACAGTTTTTTGGATAATGAAAAAAATGTTAATGATTTCAACCAGATTCACTTCTGGCACAAGTATACTGCCATTTCTACAATGTAAATATCAGTACAGATTATAAACAAGGGATGTTAATATGTCTAAAACCTATAACTTTTCATAAACTTCAAAAAAAATTCATGTAAGTTTCAGAGAACCAAGGAAGTCCTGAGACTTAAATCCACTTCTCACAGATTAAAAGAACTCCAGATAAGTACAACCTAAAATTCCCTATCTGTCTATTCCTAAGGATGGTATCTTTCTCCCTCTCCTGTCTTGAGACTTTGCCCCTTCCCTGAAAGTTCCAATTATAAATTTTCCTTTAAATTCTTAAATTTTAATTTTTGTCTCTAGTCTATATCTGTTTCAGTAGGTTTCCACTCGGCTGACAGACACGTCCAGGCATCAGCTGCTGACTTCAATCTATGAGCCCTGAAATTGCTAAAAACTACCATGGATCAATCCAGTCAATATGA